ATGATCGACGACAATTTATATCTAACCATTTTTATGAACAATGAAAATGATTTTCCATTCATTCATTTTTATAAATAATACGAGTAATCATTTTTTTTTAAATATTGTCCAAATCATTTGTCTTTATCGAAATGAACAAAGCTCAAGAGAGATCTGATTCCCCGATTCAACCGGGCTTCGAACTCTCCTTGCAAAATTAGGCAATTAACACGACCAATTTCGATTTGTGATTGGCCTTGTTGACGACCCCCACCCTTTTTAAATTAATTAGGGAAAAAACCACCAAAAACCCCAAACTTTGTCATCTGTGACACATTTACCCCGAACGTTTTTACACCAAAATCTGAACTTTGCTTTTGTGACACATTTACCCAATGTATTTAGTCCATGGCATTTTCGTCTTTTTGCTTTTCTTTTTTTTTCTTTTTTTCCTTTCCGCTGGGGGGCCTCGCCGGATCCGGCGAGGGCTGCCCATCGCCGTATCCGGCGAGGGGGCCCTCGCCGGCGTCGAGCGAGGGCGGCCCTCGCCGGCCGAGCGAGGGCGGCCCTCGCCGGGCGCCGAGCGAGGGCGGCCCTCGCCGCGTCCGAGCGAGGGTGGCCCTCGCCGGCGTCGGCGAGGGCGACCTCGCACGCCGGCGAGGGTCGCCCTCGCCCGATCTGGGCGAGGCCGCCCTCGCCGGCGCCTGGCGAGGGCCGCCTCGCTCGCCCGAGCGAGGGCGACCCTCGCTCGACGCCGGCGAGGGCCGCCGCGGATCCGGCGAGGGCCGCCTCGCTGACGCCGGCGAGGCCCCCTCGCCGGATCCGGCGATGGGCAGCCCTTGCCCGACGCCGGCGAGGCTCCCCCTCGCCGGAAAGGAAAAAAAAAGAAAAAAAAAAAGAAAAAGCAAAAAAGACGAAAATGCCCATGGACTAAATACATTGGGGTAAATGTGTCACAAAAAGCAAAGTTCGGGGTTTTGGTGTCACAAAAAAAAGTTCGGGGTAAATGTGTCACAGATGGCAAAGTTTGGGGTTTTTGGTGGTTTTTTCCCAATTAATTAATTTGCCATAGCTTTCGATAAGTGCTCTTTCTTTTTCTTTTTCTTTTTTTTTTCTTTTCCTTTTTTGGGGTGGCTAAAAATAGCTTAACAAGTGTTGTGCGCGTGTATTAGGAGCGTGCATGGTCCGGATGGACGATTCCCATCCCGGAACCGTGGACCGCCTGCTATAGGACCGGTTCCAAAAATTGGAACCGAGAATCGCCCGTCAGTTCCATGGACCCGCCCGAGAACTGGACCGCCGGTCCGGTCCGGTTCTTGAGCGAGTCCATGGAACCGGTCCCAACAAGTTTTCCTGGACAAATAAAAAAAAAATCTGTGGACCAACCTCGGATCAACAGAACAAAAGGAAAAGAACATAATTTTTCATACAATTTCTACACTATGATCGATTATATTAACCACATCATCCATAAATCAAGTTGGTACCCATTAATTATTGGGAAAAATGACCAAGGTATCCCAACTACACAAGAGCTTAAGATATGATAACAAATTTTCTTCTTTTTTTTTAAAATTTTTTTTGATCAGATTTTTTTAATTAAAAATTAAAATAATAAAATATATTATTATTATATTACCGGTCCGGTCCAGGTGGGCGGGTGGACGGTTCCACACCGGGATCCGGCCCAAACAGTACCGGTTCCAAAAAATTGGAACCGGGAATCGGACCGGTTCTCTTGAGAACCACCAGTTCCGATCCGATTCCGGGCGGTCCGGACGGGTCCCGGATCTTTTGCGCACCCCTAGCGTGTATAAACTAATGCTCTGCTCTTTCCCATGACAAGACCGTCTGTAAGGTTGGGCCCCCCCACCGGGTGTTGGAAGTACACGTGTAGAGATGTACGGGGGGACAAAATCCTGAAGAAGGGAGCCGTAGGTTGTGCGCGCCCCCACGTGGGAGCGTGGGGGCCCCGCGCGGTTAGAATCTGACGTGGACGGATCTGGAGGGGGTAAAGGCTCTCGCGCGCGTGAATGGAGGGGAGCGCAAGGGAGGGCGCGTGCAACCCAAACGCCGCCGCGACTTCGACATTCGACACGCGTGCCTTCGTGAATTGAACCCCGGACTTTGATCCAATACGCAACGTGGTCCCCGAGCTTTCGATTTGTTCAACGTGATCCCTGCACTTCAGCCCGATGTGCAATGTCGTCTCTAAACTTTTAATTTGTTCGATGTGATTTCCAAACTTTCGGTAAATATTCAAATTAGTTCATATATTATATGAAAATAACCGATATTATCCTTCCGTTAATTTAAGTTCAAGAGCATCATTGGAAATTCTCATATAGTTCATGGACTAGTTTGAATATGCATCAAAAATCTAGGGACCACATCGAACAAATTAAAAGTTCAGGGACGACATTGCAAATTGGACTAAAATTCATGGATCATATTGGACAAATTAAAAGTTCGATGACCATAGAACCGGTTGCGTCATTTATCATCTATCAATTTGAACATTTTTTTTAATTGGGGGCTTAACTTTTCACAATAGTTATCAAGAAATTTCCGTGAAATTTTATGGGAAATTGAGCTTGTGCATGCCTCCCTTTGTGGAATTTCTCCATATGTTGACCATTTGACTTAAAAAGAGAACTTTGACTCTCAGGTGAATTTTCATGTAGTTACTCGTGATGAATTTGTGAAATTTCTCCGTATGTTGATCATTTGACTTTGAACAGTTTACATTCGTTTGGACTCATTTCATCATCATAAAATGTTTCTAGGGAACACGACCAGAAGATCGTGCTTAGAAAGCGACTGATACCTCTATTACCTATTTGCTAGGGTAGAGCGACAGAAATAAATTTAGTTATTGAATTCTTTTGTAATACTTTAGGTGCATGATTACGCCTAACTTAATTTCATTTCTTAAAGATGGATTTTCTATATAAGTGATATGCTTTTGACGACTGCTGTTTTTAACGGTACGTTTTTTTTTGTCTTCCATGGTTATATAGGTAAAACTAATCTTAACTCATGCCCTCCTCAAAGTAACTAATTTGATCCCAGTCCTGAATGAAACGTTTTGAACTATATATGTCGATGAAATCACTTGAGCATGAGATATGTGCACTTCATGTTATTTTAAAATAAATAAAACCATGCGTTATAGGGGTGGTCGATTCTAAGGCGGATCGGTGCCCGACCTAGAATTGAGAATCGAATCTATGTCCTCCGATTTAAAAAAGATTGGAACCGAGAACGCAACTTGTCGGTTCTACAACTTTCGGTTCCCAGTTCTACCGGTAACCAACCTTTTTCTAATGTTCTGGATGATTTCGAAATTTATAATTAAATATAAAAGCCGCATCATTTTTCGTTACGAAAGCATACTTTGTTAAGTGGTCATGTGGTTAGTTGATCAAATTGAAGAACCTCATTCACATCATGGGAGGTGCCGAAAAGAAATTTACCAAAGAGACTTCAAAACAAGCTAAAAATCGAAAGGGCTGTCAGCGGTTCGGTTTAATTTGGGTTTCTGTAATACTCAATCCAAACCGAAACGTTTGGGTATGCGTTCGCTGCAACCCGAACCGCGTTTTGACTCGAACTGAAAGCACGATTCGAGTCGGTTTTTTCCTTTCTATTGTTTTGATTTTTTTCCCGGGGTGGTGGTTTAACGCATACTGCAATAGCAGGATTGGCTCAACAATGAAGACCAGAAGGAAAACAAAAGGAAGAAATAAATATGCGAGGAAGGCAAAATCAAACTTGCAAGAGTTGTACAATGAGTCTGTGACACACCTCTTTCTAAATTTGGCCCCAGTCTGACATGATCAGACTAGTTCGAACCGGTTCGGTTCGGTTCATTCCCAGTGGAAAAATAAAAAAAATTCTACAAAAAATTAGAAAAATCATAAAAAAAAATTAGAAAATTCACAAAAGAAAATTAGAAAATCTGAAAATTCCTAAAAATCTTAAAAAAAAATTTCAGAAAATCCATAAAAATTGAAAAATTCCAGAAAAAATCATAAAAATTTCCAGAAAATAAAAAAAAAATTCAGTTTTCGGGAAAATAGGAAATTTGGTGAATTTTTGCAAAAAAAAAATTCAAAAAATCAAAAAACCAAAAACTTCAAAGCTTCACATAATGTCTTAGAATACTTGTGGCCACCCACTTTGAGTGAAATTTAAATTTTTTGATGTGCCCAAATAATATTTTTGAAGACTCCTTAGTTTAGGATTTAAAAGGGATTTGAACCCCTAAAAAACCCTAAAAGGGATTTAACCCCCCAAAAGGGGTCTCAACCCCCAAAAAACCCTAAAATCCTAAAAAACAATACAATCTTTTGAATGAATAAGCCTTTTAGGGTTTTTGTGTTTTGATTGATTTTCATTTTAGAGACCATTTCTAAAAAAAAATGGATTTATGTTTCCGGGAAATAGAAATTTGTATTGTTATCAAACGGGTTTATGTTCCAGGAAATAGAAATTTTATGCTGCTATCAAACGGGGTTTCTGTTCCAGAAATATAAATTTTTGGTCGTTATCAAACGGGTCTATTTCTGTTCCAGGAATTGTTTCCGGAATATAATGGTTATCATTCGCGCCCTACTCGCCGGTCGGTCAAATTTCTCCCACGCGCTCTCACCCGCGCGTCAGGGTCCCCCGCGACAAGATCAAGGCCCCTCCCTCCCTCCCCTCACCTCCCCCCATCATTTTCTAATTACCAGTTTCGTGCTCGTAGTGGCGTCCTCAATCTCTCCTTCTCCTCCTCCTCCTCCTCCTGTTTCGTCATCCTTTTCGTTCTTATTATATGATGGCAGCTTGGAGCTTTCCATAAATGCAGACAAAATGAATCTCAAATTCAAATGAAATGAAGTGGGGGACCTCCTCCCCGGATGAATACACCGCTATATATATATACACCTTCGCTCTGCCAACCTCGCTCTACGTGAATTTCTTTAGTGTTCTTTTAGCTTCCCCGCAATTTTTTTTTTCCCTTTTCTTTTTTTCTTTCTTTGGGCCGGTGAAATTTTGGTTCCCGGTTCGCCCCCCCCGAATCCGGCGGGGCCTCCGATGGCCAAGGGCCGGAGACTGACGTCCAGCCGGAGCGAGCGCCTGCTGGGAAGCTACGGCGGCGGCTACGGCTACGGGGCCGACGGGAGCGAGGCGGCGGAGTTCGACGAGGACGACGTGTGGTCGACGGTTGACCGCGGCGGGGCGGACAGAGGGGAGGACGGCGCGGAGAATTCGCAGCTGGGGTGGGCCCCGGAGGAGGGCGGCGGCGGAGGCGGAGGCGGAGGCGGCGGCGGCGGCGGGAGGAGGGGGCGGGGCGGGGTCCCGCGCGGCGGCCTGTCGTTGGCCTTCGAGGACTCCGGGGTCAGGCCGTCGTCGAGGATCGTGCACCAGTTCCGCGGGAACGACGCGGGGGCGGCGGCGGCGGCGTCGTCCCCGTCGCCGCGCGGGCACGGTCACGGGCACGGGCACCACCACATGGCCACGTCGGCGCCGGTGAACGTGCCCGACTGGAGCCAGATATACCGGGCCGACTCGGCGGAGTCGATGCACGACTCGGACGACGGGCTGGAGGAGCGCGACGCCGAGATGGTCCCGCCGCACGAGTACCTGGCGCGGGAGTACGCCCGGAGCCAGCAGGCCGCCGCCACGTCGGTCTTCGAGGGCGTCGGCAGGACGTTGAAGGGGAGGGACATGCGGCGAATGCGCGACGCCGTGTGGAGCCAAACCGGGTTCGACGGTTGATACTCAATACAACAACCACCACCACCACCACCACCACCACCTTTATATTATTAGATCCGCCGTCGATTGGGAAAGAAAGTCGGACGAGAAAAAGCGGGTCGGGAATTGTATTCGTCATTGTTAAAGGTAAAAGATTTTTCCCGGGCAGTGATTCGGGATCGAGTCGGCTCGGGTTCGGGATCGAGTCGGCTCGGGGTCGAGTGAGCCCGAGCGATTGAAGATTTTCTGCGTCTCCTCTGGTTTTGTTAGGTTGAAATTCGATCGAGAGGTCTTCAAATTTCTGTCTTAAGAGTTCATCTTTTAGCTATGTAGCCAAATCTCAATGTAATGGGTTGTGGGTGTTAGTATTAGTTTGGAGAAAGAGAGGGAAAGGAAGAAGAAGAAGAAGATGAAGAAGAAGATGAAGAAGAAGAAGTAAGGCTTATATGTTTCTTAATTTTATGACCAATATCTCCAATTTTAATATTCTTTATTTTCCCATTTTTCTTATGCAGAAATTATTATTATTTTTTTCCCCAACTTGAGGGAAGTGGGTTATAAGTTAAGGTGGTGATCATGTGACAAGTTGCTGTGAAAATTACAGTACATGAATTGAATGAATTGGAAAGGGAGGACACAGTCCTTAATAACCCCATCTTTTCTAATGAGGAGGGCTGGTTGCTTCTATCCTATATGGACCTTTGTAAATGTACACTTTTTATGCTCCCACGTGAAACTCGTGTGCGCATTTTGCTTCGCTCGGCATACCCACGCCCATCCGTCACGTGAACTTTCTCGACTCGTGCTCCTGACTTTGTCGAAGTTTCTTTTATAGGATCGAAATGAACGCGATGATGACTAAATTAGATGATTTGGAGACTATAAATCTCACGAGATCGAGCATTTGACCAGATTGGAAGTGAACTTTCTTAGAATCGGAGGAAGTTCTTCCCTTAAAATGAATTATGGCCCTCAAGGTCGATCTAATAGTCTGCTTCCACAATTGGCATTACTTAACAAAACCCAATTGAAGCCCCTGAACTGAACATATATGATAGGGAAGGTTGCAGATATAAATTAGTGTTGGATGTAGATTTCTAGCAAAGTCCAAAGGTATTTCCCCCATTAAATGCTTGAGAGAGAGAGAGAGAGGGGGGGGGGGGGGGTGAGTCAAGCAAGACCCAATATTTCCTTTTCCTTGTTAATTTGTGCATGCAAAATAAAATGGTTGAATTCAAAGCTTGACTAACTAAACCATTTAGGTAGTTAAATTTTTTAATTTTCTCTAGTAATAAGGCGATCGGAGAATTGATGAAGGAGTTGTTTGATTATTTGGTTTGATCACACCTATTAATAATTTTGTTAATGAGGAAAATTGATGGACTGACTTATGGAGAATTCAAAAGATCCTCTGGATAAAATATTCACTAGCTCCTTTCCTAAACATTCAATTCAAAAAGACGGAATCTGGTCCTTTGTCCACCCCCTTTCTTGCCCTTCTTGACCTAACTTGATTTTCCTATGTATAATTTGGTCAAGAATCTCAAAAAATCATCAAGTATGGTCCTGATTGAAATAATCTTTTGGGTGGGGTGCTAGGGAATAAAGTGGACAAAATAATTAATTGGCGCCCACAATGAGGATATTGGGGAAAAACCAGAGGGAGCTTTTGATGGAATGTGAGATGGGGCTGCGTGGTGGGCACAAGTTGACAAAGCTTTCCCTTCTTTCAAATTTGGCGATTGTAGTGAAAGATGAGACATCACTGAGGATGGATCCAAACCCTGATGGCCTTGCCTTTTTGAAAGAAAGAGACACCATTGGTTCTCAATTTGTTTATTTACATGTTTAGAAAAAATGGGCAGCCAATTGAAAGGGCTACTGTTGATTTTTTATACAGGGCATGATCAATTTTTTGAATGTAGGAAACAAGAGATTCTCTCTCTCCTTACTATGTGATTAAACAAATTTTGAGTTGATGGTGTTTTTTGACCAGAGGACAGCACCTCTTTTTGAATGTGAACAGATGGTGTACCCTTGCTGCATATGAGAGGTTGGTAATTATTCCAAATGCAGAAAAAAAAAAAAGCTCATCTTTTTCTTCTTTTTTTTTTTGGTTTGTGGAGGAGTAATAATCAAAGTGGGATTGAATATTTGTTGCATTGGTGTAAAGAGGATTTGAAGTTGGGCCTCTTTTTGTATATTGGAACTTGCAAAGGGCGGCCGAAGGTCCCACAAGTCAGAAAATGCTGCTCCAATTCATGCCCTTGGAGGGTGCATTTTACCACAAAATTACAAATACAAGTCACTCTGAATAGCTGTCAACAAAATTATGATTAATAACATGTTGACTTATAGATGATAAGAGATTTTGTTTATCTCCTCGTGATCTTGAATTCGAGTCTTGTTGTAGGCACTTCGGGAATAAAATCATGAAATCACCGAGTTGATATAGAGGAGTGAGATTGTCCGAGGATTGAGGTGTGTAAAAAAATTGGACTGGACACTACCTGATCGCCAAATAAAAAAGAAAGAAAAATTTATCAGAGAGAGAGAGAGAGCACATGTCCCCTGGGGCCTAAATAAGCATTTTTCAATCTTAAGCTTTTGGATTCAACATTTGACCATTTATGATTATCCTATTCACCAATAGAGAAATACGTGTATGAGGGAGGTCTGGTGCAATTAAGGGTGAGCATGATCAAGTTTCGGAGTCGGGACTGGGAACTGAATTGGAAAAACTCATTTTAGATAATTTAGAATTGAGGATTGAAACTATCCCTCTTTGGAACTGGTCACTAGACTGGTCTGCGAGTAGAACCTGAACCCGAACCCCTCTGTCTTTTCCTTCTTCTTCTTCTTTTTTTTGGTGAAATTAGAGATAGAGAGGCAGAAATCTGGACGGAGTGAATGGATTGTAAGCCTTTTGTTTCTTTAAACTATTAGTTAAGCAAGTAACATTTCGCTAAAAATAGTCCTCGTTATCAATTGGATACCGATTCTACTTGGAAATCGGTTTGGTTGGTTCGGTTCTAAGTAGAAATGGGTTCGACCTTTAGTCAGTGAATCAAACCAAACTTGGTGGGCTTCTAAAGTTTTTACTTGTGAACCAACACATTCTCCTGAAAAACTGGCCTGGAACTAAATCGGCTGGGGCGATTTCAACTTGTTCTCAAACCAAATGTGGATTGTAGCTCGCCCTTAGGTGTGCAGCGACATCGAGCACCTTGTATCGCATGAATAACCTTGGCACAAAACCTGGTTAACAGTGTACTCTTTGACCAGAAAGATCACATGTGATTGGAATCGAGTAGATGTTAGGGAGAGGTGCTACACCTTAAAAAAAGCTATTGTGATATCCTTAAATCCTTAAAACATTCACGATGAGGTGATGGGGGCTATTTTGAGTCCTTGTAAATTGGGTTGCAACTGAACTGGACTCCATGTTCAGCAAATCTTAGAGTCATGTTCTTGATGGATTCTAGACAATTCAATTCTCAATCCATGTGTTCAATCCAAAATGTCATGCTAACTTTGGACATTGAAGAAAAGTAGGGGGGCATGGGAATGAAAATTTTTGGGCTGTGGCGTAACGTCAAGGGCAAGCTCAAAGGAAAGATCTTGTCATGTGTGTGGACTTTTGGCTGCTTAGAAAGGCTTTGAAGCCCATATGAGTGCATTCCCACACTCGACAGCCATTTTGAAAGACTTTTAACATGGGAGGAATTCTTTTCTTATTGTGCCTACTTTGAAAATTTCTTTTCATGAGCAGGGATGGCATTGATGCGAGACGAGAATGCGAACTCTCGACCCACTCCCGTCCATGCGTATCAAATCGAGCTTCGCTTATAAAGTGGCAGGTGTAGCCTTTTCAAGATTAACGTGATATTGCGACTCCGTGATTTGACCACATGATCTGCTTCATCCAAATCAAGGGTTTAATCACACCCAACCAGCTTCCTAGGGGTACTCATTCGATATTGGTTCGAAAGCATCTGGAATTTTCCCTTTTTCGACCGTTTTAAAAGAAAACTCCATGGAGTAAGGGGTTGGTTTGGCTTAGGAATATGTTAAAATGAGAATTGGATTGATTATATTGCTAAAAATCCATGATGCTTTCAAAAGGCACCATGCTATTATGATGGGAAATTACTAAAAAAAATCTATCGTACTTGTGTCAATTCAGTTCTAAACCTTTTGATGATTTGCCAATTTAGTCATTCCGGCCAATTTTGATCGGAAAATACTGAGTAGTAGTCCAATCAGCACTGACCATCCTGTGTGGTGTAGTCGGCCTGATGTGGACAATATTAAAAAAAAATTCTGAATTTTTTTTTCAATTTTTTTCCTTTTTTCCTTTTTTTTTGTTTTTCTGCTTTTTTCTTTCCTTTTTGCTTGCAATTGGTCTCAAGTGATTAGTTGAAGAGGGCTAGGCAAGGGTCGCTTCGCCTGCGGTCGGCGAGAGCCTGGGGCAAGGGCCATCCGCAATAAAAAAAATTGATCAAATGGACTACATTGGCAAATTGTCAAATGATCTATATCTCAATTGGCCAAATTTCTGACAAGAAAAAATTGATCAAATTAAAAGGTTTAATACTGAGCACAAATACAATATGTTTAGGTTTTTTTGATAATTTTGCCTTATTTAGGTAACTAATAGAAATGGACTAATGTGATGACAATATAATTAGCATTAGGAGTGATTATAGGGTAAGTTCTAGACAAAAAATTTGGAATCTAACATGTTAGAGTTGATTTACGATTTTTTGAACCAGAATCGAATCGGTTCCTTAAGAACCGACTTAGAACTGAATCGGTTGGTTACAAGATTGACTTGGAAACTGGGCCTAATTTATTTTCCAAATTTTAAATAATTTCTAAGTAGTATAATTATTACTTTAAGAAAACATACCACGTGAACCGATTGTGGCATAGTGATTAAGGCATCAATAGATTATTTAAGGTTCCTAGGTTCGAAACCCATCTCCAATATATCTATCTTTTTAAGACAAAGTTAAAAAAAATAATCGGTTATTTTCGCGAGTTCTCACCCTAATCTCTCAAACAGTTTACAGTATTGAATCTAGAATTGAACCAATCAAGGTGGATTCAATATTTTTTTACCCGAGAATATACTCGGTCCTGGTTGAACCGACCTGGAACCGGTTGGGTAAAGCCAGTTCAATTCCCGAGTTGAATCGGCCCCGATTGCTCACCCCTAACGAGCGAACCAGAATGGTTTCCCCCTCTACAGTTTTTGTTTTCCAATTTTTGGATTCTTATTTTCTCTGGCTTAACTTGTTTGACCTCGATGTTTATGACAGAACAGATCATAATTTCACATAAATTAATCTGAAAAACTCTTAACCATCCAATCTCTTATTTTAAAGCCCCCTGATCTCACATTCCATACACGACTTGTCCACAACTCAGCCAAGATTCCTTAGTCAACTTAATCAAGTAAATCCCGCCGACCAGCTGTCTGCATTCCTAGGCAACCAAGTACTGGTGCAGCTCATGATTCTAAGTTGCATCACGAGCTATAAAACAAAGCAATTCATTTGAACAAAAAAAACAAAACTTGAAATCCCTCTTGACCCTTGACACAATCGATGGACACATGTTGATCACCCAACATGTGTCTTCTCTGTCAAATGTTGTTCTGTCATGCCAGGCTGCCCACCTCTTCAGAACATTTCTCAGCATCCCCTCCTTATACTATTAGCTATCATTCTGTCTAGTTGTGTCATGCGTGACGAGAATATTTAAGGAACGTTTATCCACCTTGGAATATCAAACCCGAAAAATAAGCCCTTGGATCAGAGCGATGTTGGGAAAGTTGTGGTCTTTTTTTGAGAATTTTCGGTCACTTTTTTGGCCACTTTTTCTTGTTTTTGTTTGGTTGTGGTGGAGTTTTCCTCATTGGTCATTTCCAGGCTACTTTTGAATCCAAGGACATGTGGCCCCATCCACTAATACAGCAAAGTCATGAAAAAGTAAAACTGGAAACTTCCAAACTGCATCCTCAAATTATGTCACCTTTTCCTTCCAAATTTTGGAAAAACCAGCTTCAAGTCATATTGTATAAACGCTAAAGCTCAAATTTTTTTGATCTGGGTAGCCACTGTTCCTGCAGCCTCGAGCTCTAAAAATCTGAATCTGTGAACCTCTCACCTCAGAATTCAATTTATCGTCTCTTTTCGTGAAGATATTTTGAACTTCTGTCCGAATTTGCTCTCCAGCGCAGCAAGCAATCAATCAAAATCCCAACTTGATCCTCTTTTTCGGACCCAATCACTGGTCAGAAAAATGGGTTGCTGTGGAAGCAAAGAGCAATCTCCACAATCTGGTGCAAAAGGGTACTCGAGCACGACTGTCTCAGGGCAAAACCAAGCTTATCAACAAGGACCTGCGGTTCAGACCCACAAGGTGTCCGCTCAAATGCCTCAACCAAGACCACAGCAACAGCCAGCGAGCAAGCCTCCACCAATGAGCAGTGCGGTTGCTCAAAATACGGACAATACAATTCTGGGTAAGCCATTTCAGGACATTAAGCAACACTACACTCTTGGCAAGGAACTGGGTAGAGGTCAATTTGGCATCACGTATCTTTGCACCGAGAAGTCTACTGGCCACATTTATGCCTGCAAATCTATACTGAAGAGAAAACTTGTGTCGAAAAGTGACAGGGATGATATGAAAAGAGAGATTCAGATTATGCAACATCTCTCCGGTCAACCCAATATCGTTGAATTCAGGGGTGCTTATGAAGATAGGTATTCAGTTCATGTGGTGATGGAGCTTTGTGCTGGTGGGGAGTTATTTGATAGGATCATTGCCAAAGGTCATTATACTGAGAGAGCTGCTGCTTCCATTTGCCGCGCGATAGTCAACGTGGTCCACATTTGTCACTTTATGGGAGTTCTGCATCGTGATCTTAAGCCTGAGAATTTCTTGTTGGCAAGCAAGGATGAGGGAGCTATGTTGAAGGCCACTGATTTCGGGTTGTCCGTCTTCATTGAGGAAGGTGGACCTCTATTCCTCTTAAAGATCCACTTATTTTTTTGCAAGAAATGATCATCAGATTCTTGTAATTAGGATTTTCAGTATTTTAGCTTGAAAATTGTTTGCTATGTGATTATGACCCCACTTATGTTTGACAACAACATTACTTCTTCCGGGGATTTTTTAGAGTTGGACCAATCATCATTGATAATGAATTATGTACCTTGGCCTTCTAAAGAGATGATCATTGAATGAAAAGAAGAATATTGCCTGGAACCACAGTTTCATTCAATAATAAGCTCTCCAGCTGAAAAGGATAGCCGTGATAATCATTTATGACTTTTGGAAAATGCTTGTACTTGAGTCTGCTTTGAAGGGCAAATTGAGAGCAAACAAGTACTGCTAATCAATGGCCAGTGGTTGGGTTTCGGGACGATGGCCACTGTTTGAAAACAACTCCACTGCAAAAAATTTTCATGGAAAAGCTAGTTCCTTGTTTTGCTGTTGACGATAATAGGCTCATAGGACAGTGGAGGATACATCTGTTGAACTTGAGCTTGTTTTCTTTTTGTTCCTTACAGCAAACTCGTTCGTCTCCTTCTAAATGTGCTAGCTGCTGTTCCAGTTGATTCCTTCATGAATCTGTTCCCTGAAATGGATTCCTTGCTCTAGCCAGATTTGGGTCAATTACTTCTTCGCCTTTGCTTGCTTTTCATGGAGAGAGAAGAGAGGAGAAAGAAAGAGGGGAAGAGTGAGAGGGTGGGGCAAGGTGGTATGAAAGTTGAATGAAAGTTACAGCCCTGCAACCTTTGCATTATGAGTGATGCTAGCTAAAGGTTAATTGCAGGAGCAGCATGTCTTTTCATTTCGTTTGATAATTCCATAATTATTATGATATCAGCTATTTCTAAATCGCAAGTGGTGATCTCCCAATGCTGTTTTTGTATCATCGATTTTAAAATATGAGCACACTTCATAAGTTTCTCAAAGTAATTTACTTGGCATGTTGGTTGTACTCATCATACTTTTAATATGCTCGTGGTGCTTTTGTCCTTTTTTTTGTTCAACTCAGGAAAGGTGTATCGTGATATAGTGGGTAGTGCTTACTATGTTGCTCCTGAAGTACTGCAACGTAAATATGGAAAGGAGATTGATATATGGAGTGCTGGAGTTATCTTATACATTCTTCTCAGTGGTGTGCCTCCATTCTGGGCAGGTAGATTTTGCTGATATTTTTGCAGCTTAAAAGAAGATTATTGCACAGCAACTATAACATAAAGCATGCCTGATACAACTAATTTATATTGCAGAAACCGAGAAGGGTATTTTTAATGCCATACTGCAAGGAGAAATTGATTTCGTCAGTGACCCATGGCCATCAATATCAGATGGTGCCAAGGATCTCATCAGGAAAATGTTGACTCAGGATCCTAAGAAGCGGATCACCTCTGCCCAAGTCCTTGGTAGTAGAACCCATATCTTTCTGTAGTTCATCATAATATGAATCAGTAGGCCTTACCTTCCCTATAGGTTTCTCCCAGTATCATTGTTGGATCTGCTACTGTTGAATATCCTTTTATCCGAATTATACGTGTGCATGCATTAATTTGGTGGAAAACCTAGATATTCACTGTTCAGGGTGCAACACTCTTACTGTTTTCAGGCTGTCCAGTTATCGTGTGTGTGCTGTTGCTGGGAATTTGATGCGTCCTTTTTAATTTTGCATTCAAATTGGTTCAAAATATTATAAAATGACAGTTATATATTGCTGTTGTCGTCGCTATACAATAATCCATGGATTTAATGGTGTATCTCATCTTCAGTTTCCTTTCTTTCTTTCTTTAAGAAAATGTGGCACTCTGATATTTGAATATTCTTTGACCTGCGAAACTCATATCAAAATATGGTCCATATTCTTGTCGCCAACACTGAGATGTGATGCTTGTCATAATTAGAACATCCTTGGCTCAAAGAAGGCGGAGAAGCATCAGACAAGCCAATAGACAATGCAGTTCTGTCCAGGATGAAGCAATTCAGGGCAATGAATGAGATGAAGAAGCTTGCATTGAAGGTAAACCATTTGTTTAGGTGCACAAGCGATGTGCAGAAGTAAACGTCATGAAATCTGCGGGTTGATATTATGTCATGTTATTGTACTTCCTCCAAGGTGCTTTGACTCCTGGTATTGTATATTTCATTCAAAATGAAACCGAAATGGATTTCTGTTTAATGCTTATTGAATCTTTAAAATTATAAATTAACAGGATCAAAGTAGAGATATCTCTGGAACAAATTCTCTCATCACTTGTTTTCAGCAGTTCTAGCTTGGAAACTAATCTTAAGCCAATGTTATCCTCAGTTGTTTCTCCAAGAATGTTTGCCTGTAGCAAGGGAGTGGCTGCATGGAATATTCTTTTACGTTGTAAAGCCGGCTATGGTAAAGATGCCGTTGTAAATATACCATGGAATAGCGTAGAACTTGTTTTACAAATTTCAACTCATCCATTAATTTTGGGCTGTCGGTCTCTTAGGATTGGGCTTTTCTTACAGAGGAAGTAATCTGTTGTTAGGTTACTATCAGAATCTTCTTTTGCACTTCTATCCCTTTGCTTAAGCAGAGATGGCTGCAATTTCATGAGAACTTTGTGAGGAGTCATTCTGTCCAGTTGTTAGCTCAATGTGCTGTTTTTAATATCTGGGGCAGTATACACTGACAATAGACCACCTTTTTTCGACTGATGTACTCATTGATGGTATGGTTCCATCTATTTTAATAATTTTGTTTGTAATTTGTCGATAGGTAATTGCAACAAATTTCTCTGAAGAGGATATCAAAGGTCTTAAAGCCATGTTTACGAACATGGACACAGACAATAGTGGCACAATCACCTTTGAAGAGCTGAAGTCTGGTTTGGCTCGACTTGGATCACGGCTCTCAGAGACTGAAGTAAAGCAACTTATGGAAGCTGTGAGTTGGAGTCTTAGACATAGAACCTTGATCACTGTATATCATTCTTTTCTATACTTGTCACTCTAATCCCTCTCAACATATTTTTCAGGCTGATGTTGATGGAAATGGTTCGATTGACTACATTGAATTTATATCAGCCACAATGCATAGACACAAGCTAGAGAGAGACGAACATCTGCATAAAGCGTTCCAATATTTTGACAAGGATGGCAGCGGGTGAGTGAGTTACTATTTCCTTGTACAGATGTGAGTAATTTATAGCAAATTAGTTTCCTGTTTGCAAGCTTTGCTTCATTTGATAATAGTTATCTTCTTAGTAAGGTTTTGAGACATCTGTTCTCCAACGGTCATGTATGTCCTGTTGGCCCTCTAGCTATAAGTATTAGGCAAAAAATCTTCTTAGTTCATCTTCAGCTTCTGAGGAGAAAAGAGTGAACTTGATTTGGTGCTAATATTTCATGGTTTCTGAAAAAATTGTGAAGAATGGCTAGGAAGTGTAGTTTCTACATGAATTTACATGATCTTAAATAGCCTGTGTCGATGAAAACTACCACTCAAAAATGCTGTGACAGTTATATTACCAAAGATGAGTTAGAAGCTGCAATGAAGGAGCACGCCATTGGCGATGAAGCCAACATAAAGGAGATCATTGCAGAGGTGGACAAAGATAATGTAAGTCCGCTTTGTTGACGATTCTGATTTTATTGCCATTTATCTATTTGAGCTGATGTTTTCCGATCGTTGTTATATAGGATGGAAGGATCGACTATGATGAGTTTTGCACAATGATGAGGAGTAAAGCTCAGCATCCTGGAAAGCTTTTTTAAGTCACATAGTTTTAAAGCTCTTTGTTGGCAGAAGTACTTTATTTTTTCTTTCAGGTGAGCTCTGATATGTTCCATAAATCAATCTAAAGTAGAATGATGAGGAGAGCTAGGGTCCATAGTATCTCGGTTTAACGAGTCCATTTTAGCTCTTGCTCACATCTCTGCTATTCTCGTTCTCCTGGATGATGTTTGATTGCTTCTCACTCCGTCTCATTATTGCAGTTGATGCCTGCTCAGGTATCATGTATATTATGATTTGAGCTTTGTTGTGTACCCGACAATGAAGAGGAAGTCTTATTTTGCCATTAGTCTTTGTTGTCCTTGTACCTTAGATTGGCTAGCGAGTTCTTCTAGCTTCGAATATCGCTCAAGACTTTGTGCATATGACTATGCATCTTTTTTTTAAAATTATATGTACATTCGGGACGTTGATTTCTAATGAGAACCTAAGTTAACCTTTAGATACAGATCCCATCATATGTTGGAAGATCTAAGGCATTCACGAATTGAGAGGCTGCCCTTCTAATTGGTGCATTTCCTTTCATATTCCCAAGAGAAATGTTCATCCAGTTCATTTCTAAACATTCACTTCTTCTGCTACTCTCATTATCAACTAATTAGAGTCAATTGTGGCTTGAGATGACAGTGATGGGCTCCTAAGAAGTCAAAATGGATGGTGATAAGCTGACTTGGTGGTGCATCCGAGAATAGATTTTTCTGGGGGCAACTCTTGGCCTAATGATGTTGGAGAAAATTCCTTAATTATTTCTCAATTATGACAGATCTGATGCATTGCCCTTATCATCTTGGTGTGAGATCTGAAGTCTGCAATAGCTTACACAGATCTGATAAGCTCCCAGGCCCCACCACTGACGTTTGGTCCTTTTATTAATCACCTGTCCCCACATGCCTCAAAAGACATTTAACTATGAAGGGAAATAGCTTAAGACTGTTTCTGCCGACATAAGGATGCTTATCCTTTATATTATCTGTAACGCCTTCCTCCGTTTGTGTTTTTGGCTTTCTTTTTGCTTACTTTTAGAAGTAATATGGGCTCATTTTTTATGAGTCTCTGCAGAGAATTCCACATTTCATCCATCATCATGACATTAAGAAGAAAGTTAACTTTGAAGTGCATGAGTCACCAACGATTATCACCACTGAAATCCATGCATCTTCCACCTTCAACACCATCCATCCAGTACATACATACACCCCCACATCCTTATTGAACACATTAGATCCTCAGACAACGTTAAAACTAGACAAAGAAGGGACAGGAAAGCTAGCACAGCCACAGTCCACATTTTCTACCCACGCTATTAAAACTAAACACCATCTTATTTAGTCCTCTCCATACTCTTATCTTCCTCTCATGAACAAGGGAGGAATAATTGTCCATGGCGAGGACCGAGCCCGCACCGCAGATCATGGAGCTTCTTCTAGTGGTGCTTGTTGGCAATGTTGCACTGCCTCCTGATCTCACCCTTGTCTCCGGTAAGCGGGTTGTTCTCGGAGAGGATGGTGAGGGCTCTGGCAAATTCCTTGAAGAAGTAGTTTTGGTTCTTGGCCATCTTCTTCACATAGGGTTTGGTCCTCTTATCTACGGCTAACTGGTGATCCACCAAGAGCAAGCCCTTGTTGTCCAATATGTTCCTGTAATAGTTGTTGTCGAATATCATGGGGGTGCCACGGTCGTTCCTCACGTACTGTACGGCCTTTGGGTCAGGGATCGGGTCCGGACACTTGTAGAGCATGTGCTCTATGTGGTCGGGATTGAAGGCTGGGTCGACCTCCGGGTATAGCCGATGAACCAGCTTGACGCAGTGGGTTCGGCCCACACTGTGTGCTCCTGTTAGATGCAATATAAGACATATCATCAGACTCCATCAATCGCGGGCAATGGACTCGAGCAAGGATAATGCTTGAACTCGGACACTAGTCAGAAGCTTAGAATTAATTCAAGAAGCATCAAAATGAATGTACCTAGCAAGGCAACCACTCCAGGAGTGTCAATGCCCATCTTTGCAAATCTTTCAAGCACAACAGACATGCTCTCATTGTGGTCTGGCAAGTATTCCTCAATGATATCCGCTCTGCTCCTCCTCCCATCTCTTCTTCCAGTTTTCAGAGGAATGTAAGGGCCTCCTAGCTGGTGAGAAAAAGAAAATAGTTTTTATATTTTAGAAAACAGATTTATGCCAGATCTGCTTAGTTTCAACAAAGCCCATTGATTTTCTTTTTCGCCCCATTTTTTGCTAAATAGTACAACCCTCATCAGTAAGATCTCAAGTTCATGCAGCTGTCCCTTTTGATTCTCATAATCGAATCCTCCATAAAGCTGAAACTGGAAATCCTGTGATAGTTTTCTTGTTTGTTTGGCCAGAAATGAAATAGTTGTTGCAGTAGAGTCAAAAGAGCATTTAATTCAAGAAATGGGTAGTGAGATCAAGGTCAAAAATGGAAATTTTGCCATATCTAGGGTAGTACTGGCATGATACCTCCCTCAAGTACAAACTTAGAGGGGTCAATCACAACTAAATTTTCTTCCCAGAAATGGAAAATATTCTTGAAATATCTACTAGTCTTTTTTTTTTTTGGACAGATTCTGCAAAAGATCAGAGAATGTCATGAACTAGACCCATTTGAAAATCTTTTTAAAAGTCGCATCTTTGAAACAGATACAGTCTAGGAAATGAGACGAACACCATATGCAGGAGAGGAAAATTGATAATTTGGAGGGTGAAAGATTCGTAAGTACCGCAACAACGCCATCTCTGCCAGACAGCACCAGGATGTCTGAACAAGAAACAACTCCAGGACACTCTCTCTCCACAGCCTCCTTGATGTCGTCAAGGTACCTGAAGTTCCTCATCCCAAAGCTCCTGTCCGTCTCTTTCTCGGAGAGATCCCTCCTTGTTGAGTCCAAGAGCAATGAAGCATCACAAGACTGTGTGGAACACCCACATGCGCAAGCAGTGAAAAGATCAAAACTTTAGCTTCAGAAAGTAGCATATCTTTGGATAAAAAGAAAAGGACAAGAAAAGATGAACAAGAATGCAACACCTTTAACTTCGATTCTTGGAAAGAAAAACGAAAAGAGAAGACAGGTTAGCAAATGGAAGGAGAGCTAGCTCACTTGAACGGCACAGTCATGGAAGACGTTCCTGAGCCAAGAGAATGCAGTGTTCTTGTGGCGCTTGTAGAGAAGCTTGACTTGCTCTCTAATGATGTCCTCAGCCTGAGGACAAGTGTCCTTGTAGAAGTTCATCGCCAAGCCAGACCCTGCCTCAGCCTCACTCTCTGCAGAAGCAGAGTTGATGATGGTGGCTGAGAAGAAGAACAAGAAGAACAAGAAGAGAGCAGCAAAGAAGAAGGGAGCTCTGAAACCCATGTTTCTCTCTCTCTCTCTCTCAAAACACTCGCTTAGACACCAAAGAGGTCACTGACCTTGCATTTGGGTTCCCTTGGATACTTCCTTAAATAACGCAAGGGGATCAAAACTTTTTAACCAAAATAACGAAAGAAAGGGACAGTGTCAAAGTAGGAATTGCAGATCTGATGCTTTTAAGCCTTTCTTCCACATGTCCTGCATTTACTGCTAAACGGCTGGCTCTTGACATATTTTTATAATTTCTTGCTGAAGTTTGCAACACTTCTCCTGCGAGAGTGTCCAGCGAGAGAGCAAAAGGGCATTCATGGAGATAAAGATGCTGACCATGTTTTTCCGTTCAATGTAATATGCTAAGTGACTGTCATTGCACCTGCTGAATTAATGCCACCTACACATCCTTCTCTTATTTGTGAAGATGATAAACATGGTTAAGATGATGCTTAGTGGAAACTGTGTTTTTTTTAATGAAATCTTGATTATATCTACCTTTAGTTGATTTTGAAGCTACTCTAATTATTCAATTACATATCTGTAGTGATCACCAATTTCAGATGATCTGTGACCGACAGTGTTTCTTTCGTCATTTTTGACTTTCTCCATCCATTTCTCATGTCAGTCACAATTGACACTGACTTTTCTTTTCCCACAGATACCCATTCCATCAAAGTACAAATTTGACTTTTTTGACAATTTCTCTCCTTTTTGTGCTAACACTAGAAGCACCAAAAACCAAATCTATAACAATGCCATTAGAAAGTAGCAACACTGCATGCATCTGGAGGAAACTCTCAAGCCATTTAATATTTCAAGCTTTGCTTTGAGACTTTTCCAAGTTATACTCCTTTTTCTGCTACTTTTTTTTTTGTTTTTTTGCTAAGATTTCCTAAGTTATACTCTTGAATCAGACAGAGATGACCAGGAAAAGGGGGCAAAAAAGACAAATAGTCACATGGAAGACAGCATGTGCCCTGGACTAGCATGGGACCAGAATACTTCAGCCAGAAAAAAAGAAGGGGAGAAAACAAGGTATCTGCAAATATGCAGTTGAAATGATATTTCAATTCTCAACAAGTGGATATTCCAAAAATAATAATCATCTGCCTTTATTGTTAACATATAGCTAATTAAGGGACAAAATGTACAAATAATGCCATACTGACAGCCAGTAGATACAACAGATTCTGGGCCACCTTTTGTTTTAGGGGGTGGGGCACTTATGCTAACTTTGAAGATTTATTTCTTGGTAGATTTTAACCTGAATACAATACAAAAGAAGCTGTTTGATCTCCTAGAACCAAAGGAATAGAGATGAGGGGGGATGAGAAAACACATGCATTGCCTAAGGCAAAATCCGGTAACCAATCGGCACATGTGTCGTCAACCCTATAAACATTTTTCGGGATGAAGCACTCGAGCTGCTTGATTAGCCATCGAATGTGCGGAAGCAAGCTCTCTCCAACTGCATTTGCCTGGGTGTTCGATGCAACAAGAGAAAAGACTATTTCATAATTGCCTACTGATATGACTTATTTGAAACTCGATGAAATTACGAGATTCAAACTCAAATAGAAAACCCAAAGTTCGGCTCTAAAAGCCATCCAAATGCCAACAATCTAGGTTAAACCACTTAACCGAATGCATTTGCCTTGGTGTTCGATCTAACAAGAGAAAGGACAATTTCATAAACGCCTTCTAATACGGCTTCTTCTTTTTTTTTTGGGGTCATATAATGTTGACTTAGCTGAAACTCGATGAAATTGCAAGATTCAAACCCAAACAGACAGCCCCGGAGCTTGGCTCCGACCGCCGTCCTAATGCCAACAATGTAGGCTAAGCCATTGACCGATCGCTCACTTCATCTCGGACTACGCCGCCCGTAGCTGCATTTCTCGAGTCACCTTTAGTAAATCAACATCGATAATCAATTTGCGTATTATAATCACTGGATTATGATGTCACGCTGATCTTAAGAACCAATTTAGATGATGGCTCAAAACTAAGCTAAGCCAAGCCTAATAGCCAGCCGATACCGACACTATTTTTTTTTTTTTTTGGGAATCGTGTCGATCTTCTGGTGTTTTCATAAGATCTTCCGCCTTAAGATAAGGTGGGCCCACAAATTCATAAAATATCGTGGGGCCCTTTCCCTGTCCCCCCCCCAAAGTAAGAAAAGTCATCGTCCCAAATTCCCAATTAAGAAAATATTACAACAGAATTTCTTTAATTTAAATTATGCAGCACGTACATTTTAACCTTTTCTTAATTAGAAATGCCCGTAATTTTCGCAGTATCGAATCATTAATACGTGAATTCGCGTTATCATTTTTCGCGGTTTTTTCTTTCTCAATTTCGGATCGTGATTTGAATTTTATCGGGAAAACAAAACCCCGTCGGGTACCTACGAAATCCGCCGAACATCTTGGTGAAATGCTGAATTAAGTAAAAAAAAAAATGAAACGAGTTATGTAATATATTGATCATTGACCCAAGAAACTGAGGAGGAATTTTGTCGATCCGCTTGCTTTTTCTTTGAAAGAAAGATTGCAAGGACAGACAATGAATGACCTAACCACGCTATCAATTCTTCCTCCTTGTTACCAATGTAGAAAATAAAAAATTGCATGGAGATCCGCATTTGCGTGTAGGGCATGGCGCTTTTTGGTTTGACTCGGAGGGAAGCCCGTACACGTTTTAGGCGAACGTTAGTCAAGACTAGGGGTGAGCGGTTCCCGATCCGGTCCGGTTCCAAGGTGGAACCGGGAACCGGACCGAAAGAACCGGTTCTCAATTTTGGGAACCACGGACTGGACCGGTTGGTTCTAGGACCGGGAACCGGTTACTTAGAGTTTAGGATTTTTTTTTTGTCAAACACTTAAGGTTTGGTTCACATTTTACTAATTTTTGTCAATAAATTTATGTCAATGAAGTTCACTTAGGGTTTAATTCACATTTTACTATTTTTTATCAATGAATTTATGATAATGAAGTTCACTTAGAGTTTAGTTCACATTTTATTAATTTTTTTAAAGAAAAAAATAATAAAAATATATATTAAATAGTCGGTCCGGTCCGGTCCGGTCCCGGTTTGGACGGTCCAAGTTGCTCACCCCTAGTAAAGACCCCGGTGCATACGATTCGTTAGATCATGCATAGGTCCCGATGCATCAGGTGTGGCCAGTGATTTGCTCGGTGCCACGTGGGGGTCTTCCTGTAAAACCATAAAGATCTGGTTCCCGAGAAGGCGACGGCCGTAGGATCAAGCAAGAGCAAAATCTCATCTGTCGATCATAATTTTAAGGTTTGGTTTCACGACGCTGTATATAAGAGATACGACAGAATGTACGTGAATACGACCGATTACTATTGGAGAACCGATTTCCCAGTGAACCCATAGAAGGTACCGGGTTGTGCATGTTCAAAAGATTTTGTTATCGTGTAGCGATTGACATGCAAATCATACATCCGGAATGCATAAAAGCTCTACTTGATTTTAAGGTCAAATGACTCATCTGTCATGTCCAAGTACCGACATTATCGTAAAGAGGCGACAATTTTCGACCCGACTCGAGATATTAGACAGATGCAAAACTATCGCCGGCGGTGCCGCCGACATTAACTCACGTGACAATTACAACATAGGAGGGAAGTGATGGAGCATGAGAACTCATGCATGAGTTTGAGCCAGTGCGCTTATGGACTGCCCTGTAAGAGAAACCTGGAGACATCTGAATAACAAAGTTGAAATAGCTGACTAATCAAGTTTTGACATGTATAAAAAAAAGAGCCCTAATCGCGGCATTAAGCGGCGTTAGCGGGAAATATGAAACATCGATAACGGAGTTGAAGTTAGCCGGCAACCGTTAGGAGTTCCGATTTACTCTCTTGCCAATAGTCGAGGGCTCGTGAAGTTCACCTTGACACAGAAGTTGTATAATACTTCGAGCATCGCTTTTGCTTACTGAACATTTTATCATCCGTTGCCCCGGGGCGTTTTTCTTGTTGTGATACTTGTCAAATCCAATAGAGCGAATGAAGATGTCTTGTGCAGCAAATCCTTTTCCTTCGAAACCCTACAGGCCTCCATGTCTCTCCCGTGTTGAGCAGCATTCCCTTCTTCAAACTCTGTTTATGTCTAGTTCAAAGTTTCCGATGCATCTTGTTCCTCTAGAATATATCGAAAGTTTTGGTGCTAAAAATGCAATAGTTTTCGCCAACAATCATCACCTTTGTTGAGGTTTCTTGGAGGTCATTGACTTGCTACAAAAGAAACAGTACATAACTAATGTCAATCACCACACACTAAAGAATTGTGTAATACATGCAAACTAAATCAATCATAATCTGCCACAGGGCTCTGAATACGGAGTTAAGTGTGTTCTCATTCATGATAAGCGATTAAATGTCTAATTAAACAATCAAGTTATGGATGAGAATTCCTATCAATTCTCTAAATCAAAAACTCACTAAAAATCAAGATTTGTCATAACAAGAAAATGGTATTTGAACGACTAATGAGTCGTCCAAGAATATCCAATCACTCCCACTGAATCACAATCCCATCTATACCAGTCTTATATTCCACCATAATTTTAAAAATTTATTACATCTGAAAACATTTTATTTTGGTTTTGTAACTATTTCAGAGTAGATCATACAACAATATTTTTTACTAAAAGAAAAAAAAATTCCGTAGGTAGTAAATACTACGGCTAACTCTACCGTGTTGCACCCCAACACGCTAGGCTTGACACGTGCATGTTATGCACCATAATCAAATTTGAGCAAGCACTTGATTAGCATTACTCATCATATTCTTAGTCAAAGGTGTTACGGCGAGAAGCCATAGAAGTTGTAGCACAAGTTTGATTAAATCAAATCAACTAATTTCAAGAGGAGGCCATAATAAGTAATTGGACAAACATGGAGCGAACATGGTAAAGCACGCTTAAATGAAACTCGAAGAAAATACTTTTGGCATTGAGTAAAAAGCACAATAATACCATGACAAATGCTCTTCAAAAAAGTAATTGATAATCCAGTGCAATCGCATCCTCTCTTTTCACTCTGCCTCTACCTATCTTATCAGATCAAGTAACCTAAACTTTCATTCTGAAATACCGAACATACCTTGAGCAATCATGACGAACTCTGAATATGTCTGCATCTGACGTCGATAACAAGATGGCGAACGTGTGGCGCATACCACTTCACTCTCTCCATGTGTTCTATTACAACTTCCCAAGGATATCCTGCAAAGAACCAGCAACCACAACAGTGTTGGCGGCTCGTATTCCACATTCAACTGATCTTTCAGTACAAGCACTTACCTTCAGATTTAGCAATTTCATGCAATGATCGTGAAACGTACTCAGCCCATGTACTCTCCTCTGAATCTTTCACATTTCCATGCACATGTAGCATCCCGCCTTCCTTCCTACATTGATGGAACTGACTTTATGTGGGTAGACTCAAAAACTCATGACTGTACTCAAGCTTAAAAATACGTTATTTATCACACAAACCACGAAAGATATGACAATGTCATACTCGACAATCTAGTGCAGAACATTCGATGCTGAACCTAATTTTCTAATAGTGCATTGCATTCAATTTATCCAGCCTACACTGCACTAAACATCAAACTCTCACAAGTGGGTTATTTTCATAATTCCACAAGCAAACAACCAAGAGCATTCAAATCAATATCCCCTAAATAAGATTGATTTCATCGATTAAATATTAATTTTTTATTTTCAAAACCACTCAATTCCAGCTGATGTCACATGATAATCAGTTAATTGGATAAAAATAGAGAAAAACAAAAAGACAACCTGCTGTCTTCATTGCTATGTATGTCTTATATGTATATCCTGGAAATTATTTTAAATATCTCAGTAACTACCCACTCCCTCCAATTGTCTCCTTTCCCAACTCTGCTAGTGCCTGCCTCCCATTTGTGTCACTAGTCAAGATAACATTCTTTTTCAAATTGAACAAGCTAATGCAAGCGTCCATTGTCTTTGTATAGTGGATCGTCATTGCATGAGGTGAAGGATTCACATGCAGAAAGAACCAAGTTCCCACCATTCCGATCAGTTGCCTGCGTGGGAGAATGATCTTGAGCTCTAAGGGCAATGCTTTAACGTTTCAAATCTATACTAAGAGCACTACCAATGGTTGAAAGTCAAAATTTAAACTTGCTTAAGGTAATATAATGGAACTACTCCTCCACATGGTCTGCTTAAGCAAGGTTAACAAAAGGTGACAGCCTATCTTATGACCCTCGCAAACAGGACAATAAATGTAGCCAGGAGATGGAGGAATGAGAGCATCACATAATATCTTCATTCGAAATCAGAGACTTCATCAACAAATTTAAGGATGCTCTAACCACAAAAATTTCCTATCATAGGTGGCTCTAATCCCCTCCTTTTGAATTCCCATTTGTTGACAATTCAATTCACGGGTCAAAAAGAAATACAGAAACATGTGATTACTTCACGATGATGTTCAGAAATTTCTAGCTTCAGAAAAACATAAATATCCTGAGAAATTTTCAGCTTCTCATCATGCAAGATCATCTGTCAAAATTTTTCTGGACAGCTAATCATATTTATGGAGAATGTTGAGCAAGGAAAGTCGAAAGTCACCTTAATGACCTTATAGCAGTTACCCAGCTGCCCTCACTCGAAGGAAGGAGACCAAGACACACTCGATCAGCAATTCCCTATAAGAAAGCGTCAAGGAGTCAATATCAGATGCAAAGTTTATTTATACCATCCACACTATCTCCATATGCTCCTTCCAAAAACCATAGGTTAGAATATCTTGATTATAGAAAACAAACAAACCCAATCCACAAGAGGACACTTCATAAGCCAATACATCAGCAATACACATGGTTAATCAATTATAAACAAAAAATGGTTATCCCATTTAAAGATAAATCCAATGCTTTACAACAAAGAGAAGAACGTAAAAGCATTTACAAGTAATTTTAGAGTAATCAAGATTATGTAAGTTGACTTAGACAAGTCTCGTCAAAAAACGAGTTGCACAATGCAAAAGTTTAACGTAGCACATTTATTCTGTGCAGGATATGTAAAATCAACAACGAACCATTCACTGATTGAGAATCAAACTCCAAGAACATACTACAACCAGGTCTGCAATAACTGACAGAACTAAAAGGTGCCAAATCATATTTGTAAAAGAAACATGAGCCCTACATGCTTCAAAGCAAATTCAAAGATATTAAAGACTTCCAGGAACAGTCCCTCCAAGGTCAGTATCCTTCAAATCTTCTTCAGAGTTCAGACTCAGTACGATTAGCAATTAGAAGTCAGCCGTAACTTTTCGATTGTATTACATTAGATCAAATGTAAATCATTTAAATTACCCTCTTTAACTTACTTCAGAGCAAGTGGATACAGGATTACACTAGGCTGCAAACAAAAAAATACATATAAGTAGAACTTATTCCCACCTTGGGTGCTGTGATCCGATTATCTCCTTCAAGAACGACACAGCGATCTATAACTGAATTGGCCTGCAAATTGTGACGTAGTGCCTCAATGGCATGAGGGTTCCATTCACAGGCATATACTAGCTTAGCCTGAGCCCTGATCAATAAATTTTTTTGTGAAAAGCACATAAAATTAAAAAGAACAACTAAAAGTGCAAGAGATATTAATACTAATTATCGCAGTTTCCTTCTTGGAAAATAATCAGCATGAATAACCTCTCACTGTCAAAATCTACCGGATTTGTATTGGTAAGATATTGCAGCCCTATAATGCAAAGCTTTATTTCTTTTCCATTTTCATGACACCCACTACCAAATTGAAGGTGAATAAGAGTTAATCATACCTAACAAGGAAGGGCAACACAAAGTATCCAATTCCAGCGAACAAATCAACAACAACTTCGCCTCGACAATCTAGACGAGCCATGCGACACTTTTCGGAAAGATTGCCCCACGAGAACATGCACTTAGTAGCATCAAAAGAATACAAGATACCATTTTCACGGTGGGCAACCCAACCATCATCACCAGATAGGATCTTCAGAGCACTGTCCCTCGTAGAAGTACGTGCAACATAGCCCTACAAAAGCCAACAGAATTTATTCTAAAATCCAAGAAAAGAAACACAAAAATGCACCATAAGTTTTCAAAACAAGATGAATCATGATTTTTAAGTCAACTAGTAGAAGAGAACCAGGTTTCTACAAATCGGAGAACATGTTTTGCAAAGGCATTTCCAGCTCAATGGCAAACGAGTGTCACAGCTTCAGAAAAACCAATAAGATATAAAGGGATCAATACCCCCAAAAAAATGTTACTACACATATGCCAGATACTCTGTCAATTCAGATATTTAACATATACAAATAATGCACTAATTATAGATGCGCTTTTTGAAGCCACCTTCAGAACCCCCAAAAGGATAAGGAAGGAGAAGGCAGTAAATATCAGCACAAAACTTACTTGGCGAGCAAGGCGACGAGTATTGAGGACTTTGGCAATAACGGGCCAGAGCTCCTCACCAATTGTCTCCCAAATTGGATCCTTGAAGGATGCTTCTGGAAGAACAACAATATCTCCCAGCCGTTCCCATCTGACGCGGAAAACAGAAACACAGTTGAGAAGATGACATAAAATTGAACTCCCATTAAAAACACTCTTGAAGAGACACATAGAACAATAAAGGAACATCATGTGCTTTAATCAAGTAAACTAATGGTCAGACACCAAACTCCCAAGCCTTTGAAACACAAACCTTGTGGGAAGCTGCTCAAGAAGTTCTTCCGATAACCCTCTCTGCTTAAGTAGCACCGCAACCGCTTCCCTCATCACAGCATATGGAGATCTAGCAACTTTTCTGACTTCTCCAACTCTATCAACCAGCACAGTTGCACCAGCTTGCTTCAAAAGATTCCAGGCAGCTGACCAGGTATTCTGATTCAACAAGACATCTGATTCTACCGATTGTTTTGAAGAACACAGCTCATTTAGCTCCTCAAAAACATCTGCTCCATGTTCCTGCTTCTCATACAGAGCATGAAATTTTTCAGTCACGGGGAAACAAATATGCATCCCATCCTCACTGGTATATACCTTCCTCCCCATGTCCAACCATCCAAACTTCTTCAATAAGTCCTTTGCTAGCTTTGCACGGTTTCTTTCAACTTGTAGAAGCCAATGCATGGGATTTGTCCGAGGTCCTACCAAATTAATTGCTTCTTCAAACTTTAAGTCAGAATTTTCACCTAAACTTTGAGCATGCTTACGTTGTAGACCTTGACCCTGACACCGACCATGTGTTTCCTCGGCTACCTCTCCTTGACGGAAAGGGTGCTTGTCTCCACTGGACAGCATACTGTGACTTGAGCTATCTAAATGGTGCAGGTTAATTTTCATGGGCTCACTAAACGTTGTTCCAAATGCATAACAAGATGCCCCACCCCCCATCACGACAAGATCATCACCAACGATGTTCACTGTAGTACGCACGAACAAATATCTGCTGACCGAATTGAGTGTCACACGCTTCCAGCTTTGCAGCTGCAGATCAAGCAGTGACAACTCTTGAAGATGCTGTTTGACAGGACAACCACCAATGATGCCTATATAATGCTTGTAGACAAACATTGAATGAGAGAACCTAGCATGTGGTCCTTTGCCCAATGTCTTCTCCCTTTGCCAAGCACATGCCTGAATGTCAAAGCTGTACAAATCTCCCAATGCTTTTTCACCATCATATCCTCCAAACATGAAAACCTTTGATCCATATGCCACCATAGAGTGTGAATGACGAGGACACGGCTGATCCCCACCTACAGCCCACTCTTCCCAGCATAAATTGCTTGTATCCAAGACAAAGCAGGATGAACAGATTGATTCATTGTTCAGTCCACCATATACAAAAATCTTCGAACCTAAAACTGCCGCTGAATGGCGATGCCTGTTCAATGTTTGGATTAATTTAAAAGCTAAGTATGACAAATATGTGCTTTTGGAGTAAATGCACGTATCTAGGCATGCAGAGCATGGACAAAAGCAAGGATGATGTTCTGTAAGTATTTGCATGTAGATCCAAGTTCAATTATGTACATGCAGCAAAAGAAAACTCCAAAACTCTCAAATTAAACTCAATTTTGAGCAAGTTGAAATGAAAAGCAAAGACAATCTGAAGTATGATAACTAAGCAACCTTAAAAATTTGATTGTACACTTCATAGCGGGAAAAAGGTAGTGTTGAGGACTTAATGATATCAATGCTAAATGCCAAAAAGATTATGACTAAGAAACTCTCTTGCAGCAAATCACCACTTGGCAGTACCTTGGAGGAAACACATGACCATTGCAGTTTAACAATTTCCATTCATTAGTAGTTGTGTTGAAGACCCATACATCACTTAGAATATTTAATGGATCAGTCCGGCCACCAATGACAAACATTTGATCTCCAACCAATGTTGCTGTATGGCCCATTCGTGGAGATGGAGCACTTCTAACAGCAATAGTCTCTAATGTGCAGGACGATGGATCAAGAAGTAAACAGTCATTTCTTCTTGCATGCCTTCCCATTCCTCCAAAACCACCAAAAACAAGAAGTTCTTCACGGTTTTTCCAATCCACTGTGCAGGCAGAGTGACCCCAGAGGAATAGTTTCTCCTGAGGTTCACCCAGAATTTTCAGGGGAGTAATAGACAAGCTGCAATCCTGATGCACTGTAGGCCCTGCCAATTGTTCAAAAACTCAGACTTGCTTGCATCTAAACGGAAAGCTTCCTGCAATCAAAACCAGATTAACATGCAGTCATTCTGTAATGGATTTCAATAGACACCACCTAAAAGCTTTAGCTCTCCACTCACAATTTTGGACTGCGCAGCCTTTATCAGGTGAAACTTGAAAGGATATAGGCATGAGGAAAGAGAACTTTTTGAAAGTCAGCATAATACATATAATTATAAATTGTAGAGACTGCAGTGCAGCCCGACCTCCCAAAATCAATTTCTTGTGAACCAGTTAATAATAAGAAAAAGACATCTATAAGAATTATCACTTGCTCTATAAGAAATTTCTTGCTTAACCGGTTGGTGATAAGAAAATTTGGTCATTATTATAGATGCCTATAAGTTCATTTATTGCTTGCTGTAGCTCCTAAATCATCCTGAATCCATCAAATCTAGCTGCAAGTTGTATCTTTGTATCTTCTCCACATATACAATTTGATACTCAGACAAAGCATAGATCATAACAAACCAGGCATCCACAAAGAAACTTGCCAAGCCATGTTTCATCCTAATGTATTAGCAGCGCACCAGAAGCAAAGTAGCATACGATAAGATTATCCCTCGAACTAGCAATTCGATTAGCCTTTTCTTTACGAAACAAGAAGAAAATGTATTAAGACAGTACAAGCATGATCAGTAGCCTTTGCCAATTCATGCGACACAGTTGCAGATGCGACACAACACAAATGTCACGAACACTAAACCAGTCGATTGCCCGAAAATCGAACCAACCATCTATAAATGTCATCGAACATTAACAGGGAATGAAGTTCGGCTTCGATTTTAGCCACTTCATTTACACCAAAACGACACGGTAAGCAATACAAACGAAACCGAATCACGGAACATGTAATGAATTGGAGGTCTCACCATCTCTGGCATTTCCATCCAAAGTAGCACCAGCTTCTGAACTCCCAACACAAGTAACACTCTCACACTCACACTCTTTTAAACTCTCAGCATTCCTTGACAAACTCTCGGTCTTCTCATCACCAGCACCATTCACTTCGCCCTCCGAACTCCACATCCTCCGCAACGCTTGATGAAACTTCTCGGTCCTCCTCCTGTTGGCCTCCATCTTCTCGTTCGCCACCCCGACGAGGAACTTCACGTACTCGCGCGGCACCACGATCTCCCGCGCGTCTCCCAGCGGCACCTCCATCCGGATCGAGCACCGGACGGCGACGATCACCCTCGTGCTCGCGCTCGTGATCCCCGACTCCCGGAACCCGCAGGCGATGGCGGTGGACACCAGCAGCTGCGCCGAGCTCAAGTCCCTGCACTCGACCGCCACGATGAGCGGCTCGAACCGAAACACCAGCTCGGACGAGCCGGCTCGGCCCGGCTCGGCGGGGAAGAGCGAGGACAGCACGGAGTCGGGATCGGCGGGGTCGTGGGAGATGTAGAGCCAGGTCCCGCCGCGGGCCTTCTTGTTCTTGGCGGCGGCGGCGGCGGCGGCGGGGGGAGGTTGGGAGAGGATGGAGATGCGGCCGCTGCAGGAGCTGGTGGTGTAGTATGAAGGGTGGCGGTTGATGGTGGCGAGGAGGGGGACGATGGGAGCGTCCAGCGAGCCTTTCGGCGACCTGTCGGCGTCGGAGCGGCCGAGGGACGCGAGCGTCGTCGCTTTCCTCCTCTCGAACTCCATCGGCGGCGGCGGCGCTCTCCTCCTCTCCCTCTCCCTCTCTCTCTCTCAGTGTATAGAGCGCAACCTGACCGGTCGAACTCCGGGCGATCGACCGGGCCGGTTCGGGTTGAATCCAGGTACCGGCCCGAATTGGCCTTGCTCGGCCGGTTTAAAGGTCGGTTCGCGAGGGGATTAGTCCGGGAAATCGGCCTTGACTAGTTCGGTTTCCAATTCTATATCCTGAATCGGCCGGTTTTAATCTATTTAAAAGCCCGAAACCTAGCTGGTTCTAGAGCAAAATATGAAGCCTATAAGGCGGTTCCCAAATCTATCTTGGAATCGTATTGATTTTGAACCATATTAACTTTAACTGTATCCGTTTGTTTTACGGAAAAATGTTACATCTCTGGAAAATGCTTTTTAGGAAGTCAATTTTCAGGAAATGTCGACATTGTCCTATATGTGGTTGAAATTTGAAAAATATTTTCCGTTGGAAAGGAAAAATCGATTTGATTTTCTACAACCATACAATATTCGGATGTTAGTGACTTACGCGAATAGTCAGGAAACCAAGCATGAACACCAGGATCTCGAGTCCAGCCTCGATGGAACGCGATCCATGCAATGCCACTTTGGTCCTGAGCAAGAGTGCAGGCATTGATCCCACAACCACATAATCCGGAAATCGAGAACTCGATGCTTGTGCATTACTTTTTGGTGCCCTGACTCGAGTCCACAGAAGCCGGACTCGAAGCCTCGTGCCCGTGCTCAAATTCCGGCACACGGACTTGGGTCCACAGAGATCGAGCGCAAGACCTCGATGACTAGGTCCCCGGCGCTGAAGCGATGGACACAGACCCGGGTGTCGGGACTAAACACCGATATTTAGCTATATTTTGAAAAATGATTTTCACTTTTTAAAAAAAAGGAAAATCATTTTTTTTCCGAATTTAATGATAGGTCTTCCCTCTACCGAAGAGAGATAGATGGGCCGAGAGGGAGGAAAGAGTTTGGGATTGAAGAGACCAGGCCCATCCCACAGGCCCAACAGACCAATAAACTCCGCCTTTCTCAGTACCGGCGTCTCTCTCTCTCTCCTCCACCCCTTCTCTCCATCTCTCTCTCTGCGCTCCGCCACTCTCGCCTCCCTGCAGCTCGTCGCCGCCGATTCGCCGCCGATGTCCGCCGTCGCCGGGCCTAGCTCGCCGATTCGCCGCCGTAAGCAAGGTGAGCCTCGCCCTCCCCCCCCCCCCCCCCCTTCTTCCGTGCCCGCGCTCGCCCGCTGGTCAGATCCCCGAGCCGACGCCCCTCACCTTCCAAATCCCGTTTTCCTAAATGCGTTTCGTTTTGGGCGGCACTCCCTTCACGCCTCTCGACACCGAACCGCCTCGTGCCCTAGCTCTAGAATCCGCGGACAATTCTTGGCTTTTGTAGGCAATGAATGTCGTGATCCAAGTCTCGATCGTTCCTGTAATTCGAGTCCGCTGGAAACACTCTTATCGTTGGATTGTGATGCTTGGACACGAGATTGTTCATCTGCTCATGTGCAAGTATTATGCGTTTCTCGCTCGTGCTTGTCTATACAGTTGTCGTGTGCTTCGTATGAGCTGTTGATTGAGTGGGTAATTCTTGCCCGTGGCAATGATTGCGGGTTGTCTACTTCTCTGTCGTGGGGGGGGGGGGGGGGGGGACAGTGGATGATAGCCACGAGTTGTTTGTTTTTAGACGGCCCGAGCGCGTGCATGGGTCGAAGCTCTGTGCCTCCAGTCATGTCGACCTCTAATGTTGTGTCTTTCGTGTTCAGGGATTGGCATTGTTCTTTTGTCCTTCATCTACTGGACTGTTGGGAGTGTCATTGCATCGAGAAGAAAAGATTATGCGTAATCGTTGAGTATTTGCTTTGCTACGAAATTGATGAGATGTCGTCTTGCGCGAATTCGTCTGGCAGAGGCGGCCATATTGGTCAAGCTGACACTGTGCCCACCGGTTCAAACTTAGATGAACGGCCTAAAAGTCCAGCAAAAGCTGAAGAGGAGGAAGACGAGGATGAAGATGTAGATTTTAATCCCTTTCTAAAGGAAACACCTTCACCAGATGCTTCATCGAGTCTGAGCTCGGAAATTGAAGGAATAGATGGTGACGTTGTTGAAAACGGGGTTAAACCTTTACAGACAGCAGAAATTTATTCATCAGAGTTGACTGATGAGGGTCAGAGTTTTGTTGTTGAAGATTCTGAGCATTGTGAGGGGGGAAATTTGGTGCTAAATACTCTTTCCCCTAAGCTAGTATGTGAACAAGAATTGCCCGAACTTGTTGCCGGAAGGCTCTCTAAGACAGATTCAGAGATCCTATCTCTAGCTGAAAATGGCCATTTACAAGGAAAGGAAGATCATACGGGCGGCAGACCTGACTCCCACAGCGACATGGTTGAGGAAGCTACAAATAGCTGGAAGCCGGCATCTCACTCTGATGGCGAGGATGCTATTTGCAAGCGTACAAGGGCTCGTTATTCTCTGGCAAGTTTTACTCTCGATGAACTTGAGAGTTTTCTCCAAGAGACGGATGATGATGATGACATTCAAAATGTTGATGATGAAGAAGAGTACAAAAAATTTCTCTCAGCTGTTTTATTAGGTGGAGATGGCGGTGGTCATCCAACTCCAGAAACTGGAAATGTCGATGATGAAGATGAGGATAATGATGCTGACTTTGAGATTGAACTCGAAGAAGCACTTGAGAGTGACCTTGATGACAGACCTAGTGATAAAATCACGAAAGGAAATTATGAGTTGTCCAGAAGGCGGCCTGAGACAAGGCAGAACAGACGTAAAAGCACTTCTGCAGAGTGTAAAAAGAAGCTTCTTCAACATGGGAAGAGGCCATTGCGTCCCCTTTTACCATTAGTACCTGTTGGATCGACTTCATATTTACCAGCGTTGAGCGGACAACCTTCTATCACTGATGCTCCTCTGAACTATGCATCTTTAGCAGCTAATGCTGGTTGCATAAATGGGTTTGCTCCTAATCAGATTGGCCAGTTGTATTGTCTAATACATGAGCACGTGCAGCTTCTTATTCAAATACATTCTCTTTGCATTCTCGATCCCTCTCGGCAACACATTGCATCACAAGTTGAAGAATTGATTTTACAAATGCTTCATAAACGTGATCAGGTAGTAGCTCGGAGAAGCATACCATATCCTGGTATTTGCTTTTCCCCTGCATATGTTTGTTCATCAACATCTGAGGGTTCTAAAAGATCAAACATGGCACAACACACTTTGGTATCTGCTCCTACATTAGATGCTCAGAGGGTTACCTCTACTGCGGATAATCAGATGCTGGCAACTCTAAATGGTTCCCAGGGTCAAGGACATGATGAAAATGCTGGCAGTCAGGCTGTATGTTCTCGAGCGATGGAGGGTTCTGTCTGGTTGCCATATATAAGTGGTCCTGTACTATCGGTTTTGGATGTAGCTCCGCTTACTTTAGTGAAGAATTACATCGATGATCTGCGTATTGGTAAGCTGTTTGCCACTTAGTTGTTCTTAGTCTATTTGGGTAATAGGTTTCAGTAGGATATGAGGGTTTTCCTGGATCAGTTTGGTTTCTTATGGAAAAATTCAAACCGAATCAATTATGATAGTTTGAAATTTTAGATCGAGTGCAAATTTGACTGTAGAGGTTACCAAACTGGGAATGTTAAACCTTTAAACCCAACTTGGTTATAAATGTGAACCACTATTGTTTGCAGTAAGGTTTTAGACTAGAAGGGCATAAACTGCTGCAACACAAAGTTAATTCTGGCTTGGCTATAGCCTAATGTTCTCATTGGCAATTCAGTTCAATGATTTGTCTGGCCTTTAACTAGTTTGTTTTTTATCGGGATATTTTAAATGAATCCCTCTAGTTAGCTGGGATATGGTGTTGGCATTTGGGTAATTGTACTGCCACTTGGATTTTGGTTGTAAGTGATGGCTTGAAGTATAGTGGCCTGTAGTGGGATTGGCCTTCCCACTTTGTTTGATGAAGAAATGAAGTTAACATACCCATAAAAAATGTCAACCATATAGTAAAATTGAGATTCTGTCATGTTGTCCAATCTGAAGATGCACTGCATAATTTGTGTGTTCTTGTTCAGCAATAGATTTAATTCTAAGCTGTAGATTACAATTGTTTTTTGTAGATCTGTATGTGGTAGGATATGGATGGATTTGTGAGCTATTATTTTTTTTTATATACAACCTAGGTAATGTAGATAAATAATAAAATAATGCACAATTTCGGTTGAAGTTCTTTTAGAGTAAGTTAAACAAAAGTTATACCAACTTAATCGGTTTGACAATTTTTAAACCGTAGATGGCAAACAAATTAATGTACAATGACCTATTTCCTCCGTCAGGGATATTGGTTTTTGCTTTCTTAATGGCCATAGGACAGAGAGCTTATTTTAATTGGCTTGTATTTATCATGACAGTTGTCCGGGAGCAGCGGCGATGGCATGTTGAATCTACCAGTAATATTCTCTCTGAAAGGGAGCCTCTGTTTCCCATTTCCAGCTCTCTGTCACCTGTAGAAGGTGATAATCAAGTTTTAAGTGGACCTTCTCCATCAAATGCTCGTACTGGTTCTCCTTCCTCTGGTCATCATCTGCTTAAGAGATCATTAGCTGCGGCAATTGTGGAAAGTGCAAAGAAGCAATCAGTTGCCTTAGTCCAGAAGGATGTTGCAAAGTCGGCTCAGATATTCTTTCCACTGTTTAATCAAGCACTTTTTCCTCATAAACCACCCCCTACTGCTGTGGCAAACAGGGTGCTTTTCACTGATGCTGAGGATGAGTAAGTTGCATACTGCTATTTTTGTTGTTTCTCACTAGTTTAGAGTGAATCTTTTGAAGGTTGAAGAAAGGTAATGAAGGTTGTATGCAGTAGGAACTGTAAACAGAAATTAATTGGGGCAGAAAGTAACTGTGCTGCTGTATGCGTACTTGTTTGATGTCTGTGGAACTTTTACAGCTTGACTGTCACAATGTCAGAAATAATCAAAGTTTTGACCCCATTGGTATGATAACGGTGCAGGCTACTTGCATTGGGGATAATGGAATTTAATACAGATTGGAAGGCAATTCAGCAACGATTTCTTCCTTGCAAGTCTAAGCATCAGGTACTTTTTGGGCTTTATCGCTTATTTTATGGGTACAACCTTTTAGGTAACCTTTTTTCCTGAACAAAAGTAATTCTAGAATTATTCGCTCATTACAACATGTTAAGTTTTTTTGTTTAAGACAGCTCCTACTGTTGATGAATTAAGTTTGTAGTTTTTTAAGGTGCTTAGTGAGGAGAAGTTTTGACTGAGTACCGGGCTTTTTATGCCTGTTTAAGTCTATAATGGCATCATCATGAATATATCTGTTGCAGATTTTTGTACGGCAGAAGAATCGCTGCTCATCCAAGGCTCCAGAGAATCCCATAAAGGTGTGTGTTTCTACCATAGTCAACTTATGATTCTTAATTATTGATTTGTGCACTGGATACTTGGCTAGCATTATCTACTGACCTGGGGGCAAAATCGAGCCGCTTCAAGAATGAGGCAAAAGAGACATTAAGCATTTTAACTTGGATGTTGATGATGATGATGATGATATATCATCATCATTATTATTATTGTGTATCTTTCGTATCCTTTTTTCAAAATCATTAAGTGAAACAGATGGATTTATCTTGAATGAGTTTGACAATAAGTTACTATAAACTGGAGAGTTTGTTCCTTTTTAGAGGTGTTGCGGGGGCGATTTGCTTGAAATAGGTAAAAACTGTTAATGTATAATCCTTTTGGAAGGAGCGGTGGTTGCAAAAGTAATAATTGGGCCTCGCTTGACGTTTTCAATTTAAGGATGTTATGGTTATCTGGGCTCAAGGTGGGTTAAAGCAGAGTTAATTTTAATCCAGAACTTGAGATAATGGATGTAATCAAAAGACAAAAGAAGAAGAAGAAAGGATGAGATATAGACCAGAAATGATGGATGTCAGTCTTGCGTCTAGCACATGGATACCAGAGTATACAATCAAGTAGTTGGAAGTAATTCTGATTGATGTTACACTAGTGATTTGGACTTCAAAATAAAGTTGTATAGATATTTAAAGCTTTGTGTCTCAAGACCTTTAACTTAAGATTATACGAGCCCTGCTCCCTGGGAACCAATGCTGAACCTTTCTTGGAATTTGTTTCAATGGATATGTGCTGCAACGATCACGTTTTGGGAGGATCACTCTCCTTTATGCAAATGAGTTAGAGGAAAAATCAAGGAAAAGAGAGATCTTTAATGCAAATATTTGAGATATCTCTTTCTATTAGTAGCATGTTTTCTTCACCATAAGTAACCATTTGTAGGCAGTAAGGAGGATGAAAACCTCTCCATTGACCGCGGAAGAGGTGCAATGTATACAGGAGGTAAATTCTGAAGTTGTTCATTCTTTAGAATCTGATTGTTGTTTTACGGAAAGCCGTATAAGACACCTGTGACGTAAATAATTCCAGGGGTTCAAGATTTATAAACTTGACTGGATGTCAGTATGCAAATTCATTGTGCCACATAGAGATCCATCCTTATTACCTCGTCAGTGGCGAGTTGCCTTGGGAACTCAGAAGTCATACAAACAGAATCCAACTAAAAAGGAGAAGAGAAGGGCATATGAAGCAGAACGGAGAAGGCGCAGAGGTGCAGATCCAGCGAGTTGGCTAAATGTATCTGAGAAGGAGGTCTGCAAATTTCACTTTTGAACATGACATGTTGATTTTCGGTCTTTCACATCTTTCCACTTCACGAATAAGCTGCTAATATAACGGTCATACAAGTGGGTATTTGTCATTTGCCTAGAAACATTGCATAGATTACCATACACCGTCCCATGCAGACATTTATATTATAATTATCCATGTTTCCTTCAGAAATGACTTGATTACATTGTAGTCTTGTGATGAGTCTCAGTTGGTGCCATAATCTAATTATGTGGTTTGCAGTGCCTTTAGTAAGTAAAGCTTCCATCTATTGAATGTCTCCAGTCACTTTGGGACTATTTAGTGGAAAAGAGCATGAATTTAGTCTAAAAAATTAGACCAAGGAGCTTTCACAATATATTGATAAATTTCCGCCTCCCTCTGCCTTTCTTTCCATAACGATGTTCAAGGGGATTTCAGCTGTGTATTGGCCATTGGTTGCAGGACTATCAGGTTGAGCATGCTGGCGGGGAGAACAGTTGTGAAGACGATTGCGTTGATGACCCTGAGGAAGCTTATGTACACGAGGGATTTTTAGTGGACTGGAGACCATCTTTCAAACAACCTCACCCTCATGTGGGAAAAGGTGGCCTCCATGCCACAAGGGAAGAGGGTGCTTATGACACGCATTGTGAAACACAACGCCACGCTGGAAACATGCATCAGTTTCCAATTGCATCAAGTTTTCAGAATACTTATTCTGCATCTCGTGTCATCCATAACAATGTGCATGGTACCTCAGTACCAATTCATCCAGTTTCTGACACAAGTTTGTGGACACCCAAATCTCCATTTGGTCTCCTTTCACACAGAGGTCGTCAAACTGACAATGCACGCTTAGTAAAATTAGCACCAAACTTGCCCCCAGTGAATCTTCCTCAGAATGTTCGTGTTATTTCTCAGTCTGCATACCTAAGCCGTGATGGAGCAGCTTCCACTATTACTGGGAGTGCGGATAATCGACCATGTCATGCAGCAAAGATTGGAGACACACCAGCTGCCCAGCAGAGCAAAAGTATGTCTCTGAATGATTCTCTTGCGTGTGTGCAGCGAGAAGAATCAAGAGTTTTCAAGGAGAAAACCATCAATGAGGAAAGGGGCATTGATTCTGATTCCCAGATGCATCCCTTACTCTTCCAGGTCCCTGAAGATGGTCGCCTGCCTTATTACCCATCAAACTGCAATACCCTTGCTCCTGCCCCTTTAAGTTTTTTTCCTGGAAGCCAGCCTCAATTAAATCTTAGTCTTTTTCATAATCCTCACCAGCTAAACAATGACAGATCTTTTAGGCCTAGGGACTCTGCTTTCGATATACGTGGTAGTGGAATTGACTTCCATCCGCTACTTCAAGGAACCGAAGAGGTGAACAGTGATTTAACATCTACTAGTTCAAAGGCTCACCAGTCTGTTTCTGATGCTGTGCAAGCTAAGGTACCAGCCAGTGGTGGCTCCTTGACTACTGGCACAGATCTTTCTTGTTGTGCGGATAGAGCTAGTGAATTGGACCTAGATATACACCTGAGTTCTTCATCCTCATTGGGAAAGACAATAGGAAGGAACACTGGGGCTACTCATAAACTTATAACCCCCATCAAGCATTCAACGAAATCTGGAACTTTGCTTAAAAGCCAACAAACAAGCGGTCCTTTTGATCAGCAGCCTGAAAATCTGTCTTCGGTTAGAAGTGACATAATTCAAGGATCCCAAATGTCGAGCAGACCAAATGATGTTGTTCAATCCAACATTGATTTGGCAGGGGATGAGTCTCATCCAGGAATTGTTATGGAACAGGAAGAGTTGAGCGACTCTGATGAAGACATGGAAGAACATGTTGAATTTGAATGTGAGGAGATGGCTGATTCTGAAGGAGAGGAAGAATCAAGCATGGAGATTGTTGCTGATACATATAACAAGGTGCTTACTCATTTCTGGCATCTTCATACCAAGTTGCTTTCTAGTGCTCAGGGTGCAGAATTTGTTGTTTTTGCTAATCTTATATGTCAAGGTATACGCATGGTGTATAGTAGGTGTTAAAATCATTCATTCGGTTTGGTTGTAACCTAGTACATAGGTCTTCCAGACCGCTGCTTGTCTGGTGGATAATTTCTGATATACAGTTGAGGAGGGTTGGTAGTAATAGTTGTCTTCTAACTTTTTCTTGAACTATCTACGCACAATATTTTTTTTCTCAAAATTGCGTACAAGGAAGAATTGTTTCAGATATTTGATTTTGACGATGTCGCGTTGCTATCTTCATTCTTTAACCTCTCACTTTGGTAGACTTACCCCGTTGGAACATTTCTTAATGTTGCGATTATATTACTACTTTTGATTTGGTTCCCGATGATTTTCTTTTGGCAATATGTCCTGCTAAACTCCTCTGATGTTCAGCACTGATTTGGTTCCCTCACTGAGTCATTATTCCAGGGGCTCCCCTCCATCCTACTCTCCTAACTTTAGTCTTACAGGCAGGCACACACTCATGCATGCGAATTAAGCTTTCCCTACTGCTGTGAAAGTGAACTTTTCTATAATCTAAATTGTTATGCTAGCGTTCTGAAATTGTCTTCGGATCTTGTATTGCCTTCTTGCTAGGAGGTCCAGAATCATGCTGTAGAGAAGGTGGTGATGGAACCACACGAAGATCATCGGCATGAGCCGAGAAATGGTCATCGTCTTAAATCTGATGATTCTACACCTGGAAACAGCAGCCTTCCTTCCTTAAAGTTGGGTCTCACATGTGAAGGGAGAGACATGGCGAGTAAATCATGGTTGAGTTTGGATTCGAGGTTGCGAGGCTGTCCTCCAAATCCAACTGGTGAAACAAAGGCTCGTAAGCTTCGTTCCCCTCGTCCAAGCAGATCCTGCAAGAAGACAAAAACATGCACTAGAAATAATATGGAGCAGGTACATGACCAAGCTACGGAGGCAGCAAAACGGCTTGATTTGGGCACTTCCACCATCCCCAACAGGCGGCCTCGAAAGCGGACATGCAGGGGTAATGCAAATTCAGAAGTAAGATTGCTATGAAGAGTGGTTGATTTGGATGCTGTAAATAGTAAAGAGAAATCTTTATCTCCAATTTTGTACTACTCTCTGTGCATAGCATGGATCGAATGATGTTCACAATTGGCCTAGTGGATGGATGACGGACGAATCGCCATTCTATGTGAGATTGAAGTACAGTGAAAATGCTTTTGGGGAATATATTTTTTTGATTTAGGACGGGGCTTGAATGTAAGTCCTGTCGTGTGAATATCTCCTCGACGAAAGGCACGAAGAAATGAACATGACCTCTTACATTTTGTTGTCTCAGAGGTCCTCTCTCTCTCTCTCTCTCTCTCTCTCTCATGGATTTATTTTTTCTTCATTACAAGTGAATGTTTTTAGGTTGATATTGTTTACAGTCCACGGTCCGGACTACATCGCTGAGATTCTATCCCGCAAGGCATTGCCACTGTGTAGCCCTTGATGTTATCTAACGTGGTGTGTTGTATCAATTCAGTTGTGTGCAGCTCGTGATCCTACTGATTATGAGTTGGTGATTCGAATGTTGCATGGTAAAAGTTAATTTTCTACTCATGGTCATAATAGTGGCCTGTTGGTGTTGCTTATGAGATTTTATCAGGGTGAACGAGCTGTCCGTGCTCCCCGCGTATAGTGCACATTAGCTCAATATCCTTGACGCTCATGGAGCTACTTCGCGTGTTCTGCATTTTGATCCTCACTTGCCATCACATCAACACTGACAATCTCACCTCTGATCCTCCAGGTCATAAGAGGGAACAGTGTCGTAACTGCAGAAGCTCTTGAACCGGCGAACGAGACTTGGGTCCATTCAGTTCTTGTATTTCGTAGATGTTATGAACTCCCTTGCTATGAATTCTGGAGGACCTGCAAATAAGATGTGGGGTTTGCACCTGACCAGCTTATGTTTTCTTTTATAATGCACTTGATTCAGGTCTAGCTTCATATGGTTCGACGGTTCGGGAATTAGACTTATGTAGAGCAAAGGACGGAGCTTAAACATGAACTTGGATTTGTCTCGTGAAGGAAAAGAAGCTACTCCTGGGAGGGAGTATGTTTTCCCTGTTATTTCAGGTAGGTGAATGTAATCCTGCATAATTCACCCTTTTCACTTTGCTCCAGAGAATCTCAGTCGTTTAGCCGCATATGCCCTTTACTGCTCTGGAATCATTGGATCTGTCCAAACATAAAATCTAGCTACTTCTTTTTCATGACCAAAATAAATAGCTAAAACAAACAAATCAGCCACCACTCAAAAGATTCAATTGGACCCCACAAGGAATTGGTGGTAGGAAATGCAGCAAATTGCACTCCCCATGCAATCTCACACGAGTCAAAAACCTTATCCCAAAACCTCATCCGCTCTCTCGCTCTCCCTCCACCCATTCTCTCTTCCTCCATTAACCAGAAACACTAAAATTGGACACATTGAAGATAAGCCTTTGACCAGAAAAAAGAAGGGATACATCTAAAAAGAACTCATACCCACATTACCAAACTCCCTTCTCCTCACCTGCAAAACTTTGTCAAGAACATGTCTTCCTCCAATCTGACAATGTGGGTGTCCTCGAAGCCTTCTATTTCCGAGGCTTCCTCGCTCTCCTTCCGCTCCTCTGTCGGCTCAATTTTCCAGCTCCCTTCCTCTGGAAATCCACCTAGAGCCAACTTGGTGGCCCCGATTCAGTGCAATCTCCGAGAGCTCCGGGAGCGCATCGACTCAGTCAAGAACACCCAGAAGATCACTGAGGCCATGAAGCTCGTGGCGGCTGCCAAGGTCAGGAGAGCCCAGGAAGCAGTTGTCAATGGAAGACCCTTCTCGGAGACGCTGGTCGAAGTTCTCTACAACATCAATGAGCAGCTCCAGACTGAGGACATCGATGTGCCGCTCACCAGCGTGAGGCCTGTCAAGAAGGTCGCCCTGGTGGTTGTCACCGGCGATCGGGGCCTCTGCGGCGGTTTCAACAACTACCTCATTAAGAAGGCCGAGGCAAGGATCGCTGAGCTCAAGGGTCTCGGCCTTGACTACACTGTGATCAGCGTTGGCAAAAAGGGCAATTCCTATTTCCTAAGGAGGCCTTACATTCCTGTTGACAAGTTCCTCGAGGGCGGTTCGCTGCCGACTGCGAAGGAAGCTCAGACCATCGCCGACGATGTGTTCTCGCTATTCGTCAGTGAGGAAGTCGATAAAGTGGAGCTCCTCTACACCAAGTTCGTGTCCCTGGTGAAATCCGACCCGGTTATCCACACCCTGCTGCCTCTCTCGCCGAAGGGTGAGATCTGCGACTTGAACGGGAACTGTGTGGACGCGGCAGAGGATGAGTTCTTCAGGCTGACTACCAGGGAAGGCAAGTTGACCTTGGAGAGAGACATGGTCAGGACGGCGACGGTCGATTTCTCGCCGATCTTGCAGTTCGAGCAAGACCCTGTTCAGATTCTCGATGCCTTGTTGCCTCTGTACCTCAACAGCCAGATCCTGAGGGCGCTTCAGGAATCTCTCGCCAGCGAGCTCGCCGCTAGGATGAGCGCCATGAGCAATGCCACCGACAATGCTTCGGAACTGAAGAAGACACTCTCCATTGTGTACAACAGACGACGCCAAGCCAAGATCACTGGTGAAATATTGGAGATCGTTGCTGGTGCCAATGCTCTAACCTAAAGCGATAACAAAAGATTCACTTGGGTCCTTAAGCGACCCAGCTTGTGCTCTTATTTGTGTAGGTATGTTCAAGCATGTTAAGACAAAGACCCTCTTCTACATTCATTCAGATATGGGCTGGTCCAGAATTTGCAGATAAAAAAAGATCGATTTTTGTTAAAATTCTCGAATTTTCGTATAAACTCTGCAAAAATGAGGATATAAATTCTCTCTCTTGGAGTAGAAGAGCAATGAAATTACATATTACTTTACTCGTATCTCATCAAGTCGTAAACATTTGGTCGAGCATTATTTAGCCCTCAGTTTCTAATCTAGCTAGAGACTTTGCATCTGTGGTGATACTCTGTGTGCACAAGTAGTGTTGTAGTGCAGATTGCTTCTCCTTCAACATATAGTACTCAACAAATGCTGATCAAATCAAGCATGGTTGGTTCAGAAGAGCTTGCAGTTATGAGGTCACCACCAATGAAGCAATCATCCATAGGAACTTGCTCATGATGCTTTTCACATACTACAACATGAGACCCGATCGAAAGTTCACTCCGATGAACCCCTTTATTGAGAGAGAACGGCGAATTAGACTTACGTACACTTTGCATCTCCAGATGTCATGACGAGAAGTATGATCGATAGAGAAGTTAGGACTGCACACAAATCTATGTGTTACCTCTAGCTTGGTGGCCCTGAGGAGCAGATGCATATAGCTTTATCTGATTAGAAAAACAAAAAAAGATTAACCAAGCGACGATCTAGAGATCTAACTCTAGAGACAATGTAAGAGTTTGTCAATGCTTTTCAGGATACTTCTTTTCACTTTAGAAACTTATAGTAGTTCAACCAATTTCTAAAGATCCTTAGGGAACGGATCCTCAACTCTCGATCGTTGTCAGACAAAAAAAGAAAGAAAGAGTAAATCTCACCCTTCAATTGTAAAATCTTTAAGTTTTCGTATGTTACAATAGTTTTTATAGGAGTTTCGGAAAAATGTTAGGAGTTACGACCTGTTACAACTCAATAAGGATCTGTCCCTCGACGAACCATAGTTTGATTTTTAGGAAACAAAACAATGCTCGATTGTCCTTTTTTGGCAGCCTTGTTTTTTAACAATTAGGCCTTGCTTGGTCCATTTTGAGATTAATGTACTCAAGGAATGAGAACAATTCTAAAAGAATTTCATGTTTGCAAGATCCATTTCCAAGAATGTTTCTATAAATCATGCTAATACGATTTATATTCATCGAATAATCCAATTTCAAGGTGAATCAAATGAGGCCAAGAACACCTTTCACAACCGCATATGGAAAATATCTATTGCACCATCAAGGGTGGTCCCAAACGAATCTTATGTAAATTTTTCACTAACTTTTTCTATAAAACTTTGCAATTTTCATGTGAAATTCATACGTAATTATCGCCACCTTAAAAAGAAAGCAAAAAACGTCTTCAACTCTAAACAACTTAAATAAACTCCATTCAGTAAAACGTGAAAATGAAATTTATGTATGCGTTACTTGAATTGTTCAGCTACTAAAGACAACTTACATTAAATTACATTAATTGCCAAATCTGGATTAACAAGTATCGGATACATCTCATTATCATCCAATTTATCAAAGGGCGATATTTTCTTTTATCTCCTAAATTTCCTATGTTGGATGGTCGAAAATATGGCCGTGTACTAAATGGACGTTCTCCATTTAGTAAAAGAATCAAGGCTTATTTGTGACCACGGATAAACGATCATTATCATATAAAGAATAAAATAGATATAATCATATCAATCTTACCATTTCGATCATCAGGGTTATATCTATACTAAACGGCCATGTACGTTGACCAAATCATCTTTGTCTAGATCACTTTTTTAACTATTAAATAGACCATTAGTTTCGCGTAACAAAATACATATGATCGTACCATTTCGATGAAAGCCTAATAGCATAATTTCTCGCGCAATAAGGGATAAATTTTGTTTTTGTTACGCGAAACTAATGATCTATTTAATAGTTAAAAAGTGATCTAGACTCGAGATGATCTGGTCAAGTGAGATGCAATTGAAGATTAATGAACCTATACTTGCCAAGTTTCAAGTAGACTAATTGCCATGCAACATAACGCAGCAAAAAAACAAAGGGGGAAATTATAAAAAAAAAAAATTGCTCATCAATGTCCCATTAAAAGCACAAACTTTCAACGCCTGAGAACCGGTTCGAGGGTCTTCTTCTTTACATCTCAAGGAAGAACACTGGCTTCTAAAATTTCCCATTTTCAAGAGATTTTTAGGGTTTTTTTTTTCTCTTTTTTGTTCCTCTATTCCTCCCTTTCGAATTTCATTTGAGGATGAAATTGAAAATTTGATAATTAAGAGAGGAGCTAAAAAAGGGAGAAAAAATAAAAAAATAATTAAAAAATGTCGATGAAGAGCAGAGGATTGGGGGATTCAGCTAATTCCAAGGGGGTGACCACAAGGAATTGGGTGTTCTTCCTTTGCCTAGTCAGTTTTCTCGTTGGAATGTCCATCACCAACAGGTATTTTCTTTCCTTTTTTGAGGAAAAATATTTTCTCGAAAATAAAATTTAAGAAGAATTGTGCTAATTTGTCGAGGCGACGATTTTCTTTTCGTTAAATAATTTAAAGATACACGGATGCGAACATGAGAGGTGCATCGCCTCGAAATATATTCTTCATTTCTCGCACGGTAATTGTTCATACGAACTTTCCCAAAGAGTAAGGGATAAATTTAGGAACTGATTGTTGAAGCTACTGAAGCACTGTTATAGGAAAAAGAGTTCGTGGGCAATTTAATTTGATATATATATGGAGATTTTTCTATATTGTAAATATTGCTTATCGTCGAAAATAAATTAAATTCGATGTCTCTATTTCTTCTTACATGCTATGAATGAGTATAAATTTTTTCCATCTCTTGAAAAATGCTAACTCATCAAGACAATTTGTGCTAGAATGTGGATGATGCATTCAAGTAAAGGCAATGTAAGGACAGCCTTGGCTGAGCAAAAGCCTCAACCAAAGGTCTGTAAAGGCTGCAATAAGAATTCTGTGAGTTTATCTATATTTAATAATCGCAGTTTAAATTATGCCAAAAAAAAAGAGAAAAATAATTTAAAAAGGGAAAAATTGTGACCTGGGTAATGTTGAGTCTTGAAATTTAAAAAGGAGACCTCCAAATTATCATTTTTTCCATTATTTGGTAATATGTAGCTATCGCTGGTCTATTATTATGCACGATATTTTACATAATCTCCGAGTAAAAATTTGGTGTTGAAAAAATACTTCGGGTTTATTCTATATTAGAGAGAGATATATTAGCGGATTTTTAATGTCAATTTAATTTCCAAAACATGTTCGTGTAATGAATTTTTCAATTTCTTGTGCACAAGAAAGGTCACAGATCATCTAAACAATGGCAGCCGAACGGACGCATTGATGATCAGCAAGCAATCAAACATGTAAGTTAATTATAGCTTAGTTTTTTTTTTTTTTGGTAACCCAGGGAACCCCCGCACGGCCGACAGCCGGGAGGTAAACCCTGGGGGCGACACGTGCTAGCCACCACACACGTGCACCGGTTAAGTCACCCTGCGGCGCCCGGGATTTGAACATTCAACCTTTTGCTAGAGGAAGAGTGCCCTTTCCAGCAGCGCCACCCAGGCGGGTGGTTAATTATAGCTTAGTTTATCGTCCTTTTGTGTACTTTTTTTTTTTGGAAAATTGTGCATTCAATTTTCGATATTTTTTCATATATATGAACTATTTCATCAATCACAGGATGATAGATCAGACCATCGCGGAGTTGGAGAAGAAATTGGCGACGGCGAGGGCAAAACAAGAGACCGTGTCGGATGGATCTCCAAAGTCGGCGAATTCGGCGAAAGCCGATAAATATTTCATGGTCATCGGAATAAATACCGCGTTCAGTACGAGAAGGCGAAGAGATTCGATTCGCGAAACGTGGATGCCACAAGGTAAATTTGCAGATTGATTTTTCGCGGTAATTTTCGTATATTTGTGTTATGTTCAATTCGATAAATTGCTTCATTTGGATGATACATATTAACAATGGCAGGAGAGAAGAGAGAGAAGTTGGAAAAAGAGAAGGGTATAGTCATCCGCTTTGTAATTGGTCGCAGGTGACATTCTTGTTCTCAATTTAGCAAAGAATAACTAAATTTATTATTCATATTTTTTTAGTAATTTGCATACATTGAAATAAGAATTTACAAAAATAAAATGGATATATCATAAATTGGATGTTGTTAAGTTAACAATGTATTTCTCTATTTATAGCCCTCACAATGAGTATGCAAAAGTATGGTAGGATATCTTCTAACAAAAAGTTTGTACTCAACCCGTCTCGACTCGATTATTAAAGAGTTAGTTTGATCTCAAAATCGAGCTTCACCTAAAGTTTCAAAAGTACAATGAAAATGAAAATCCGTAAAATATAATTCATTTGTTAATAATTCTGAATTAATAAAAAAAACATATAACTTTCACGTGGTCGTAAGAATTTACTTGAGTTTCCTACTTCTCGATCTCTATATCAATCGAGCTACTTGAACTCAAAAATAATTTAGCTGAACTCAAGTACCATAATAGCCAAATTCGAGTAGCTTATGAATAGTTAGACTGATTCGCATTTCATCCTTGTAGGCTTTGTTAGAATTTTTCGGCAAATTGCTATGGCTAAGCGTCGTTCTTTCCTATTAGCATCCTTAATTAATGATATCAATTTATGTCCGTCCAATGGTAATTAAGTTTGAGGATTTTGGCCCAAGCCTAAATGTTAAAATATGTAATTGGGGAAGCAATTGATAGGACCGCTGTCAACTGTTCTAAAAACTTAAGCTATTAAATGAATACATGGTCTAATATTTAAATATACTAACATAAACTATGAAGCATACGCAAATATAAATTATAAAAACAAATATCGATCGGAAACATAATTAATTCTTTTTCGGGTTATTAGTCTGAAACCAGGTTTAGTGGTATATTAATTGTATGATTTTTTTTTCAATTAGTGGTATATTTTCTGTCCTTAATAGATGTAATATTAATGATACATTTTTTATTTATTTATCCCTAATTAATTTTATTTTGGTTATTAGTATGAAACCCGGTGGTGCTTTGGATGAATCTCTTGACGAGGAAGAAAAGCTTTATAATGACCTTTTGAGACTGGTATTACACAACTCTTCTTCCCATTTCGATTCTAATTAAAAAAAAATTAATCTCCAAATAATGATAATTATTATTTATTTGCTCATTTTTGATTAATTTAGTTTTATCTCTTGATTATTACAATATTTATTCGAGCAGGATCATGTTGAGGCCTACCTAGAATTATCGGCCAAGACAAAAAAATACTTTGCCACTGCCGTCTCGTTGTGGGATGCCGAGTTCTACATCAAGGTGGATGACGATGTTCATGTCAACTTAGGTAAATAAAATCACTCACAACTAATTATTCTTGAATTGGAAAATAATCCATAGGTTTTGATTTTCGTGCAAATAAAAATCTTCACCTTACCAAAAAAAATAAAATCTTATATATAGAAAAAAAGAGGTGGAAAAATAACAATCAATAAGTCTTTATTACAATGAAATTGGCTTCATTAATTTTCTGTGGACTTTTCTATTCTAGATACGATCAATAAGTCTTTGTTACAATGAAATTGGCTTCATTAATTATCCGTGGACTTTCCTATTCTAGATACGACGCACTTAATGTTTCCATCGTCTACTATTCGGGGTGATCGATTTTAGGTCGAGAACTTGAAACCTACCCAATTAGAGGTGGTTTCTAATTTTTAGAATCGAGAATCGAATCGGTGGACAATGGAACCCGCTTACCTTTTCTTTTATGTTTCATTTTTTAATTTAATTGCTCTACCACATGCATTATTTTCCAAAAATTCTTAATTATGACATAAAAATGACCTGCTTATGTCGAATTGCTCGACCTCATTATTTTTGCAGTAGTCTCCAATTAAGAGACTTGTAGGGTTTGATTTAGAATTGGTTCTAGGGTAGAACCAGCCTAGAAACCGGTTCAAAACCGATTCTACCTGGGAACCAGCTTTGATCGGTTCAAGGCCAAGAACCGAGTCTGTCCGTTTGTGGACTGGCTAGGTAAGGTCGGTTCGGTTCGATTCTGTTATCGGATTGAACTGACCTGGTTGTTCACCCTTTCGATATAGCACCCGACTTAACTTGCCTCGCATTTCGTACAGCAACACTTGGCATGATCCTAGCAGGACATCGATTCAAACCTCGTATTTACGTTGGTTGCATGAAGTCGGGCCCTGTTCTTTTTCGAAAGTAAGTTCATTGAAATACATGTTCTATTTGTTAATTTAATTTCCTACTGAAATTTCTAAATTCAAACACTTTCTTTTTTTTGTGGGAACAGAGGAGTGAAATATCACGAACCAGAGTTTTGGAAGTTTGGCGACGTGGGCAACAATTATTTTCGTCATGCGACCGGACAATTATATGCAATTTCAAACGATTTGGCTTCTTATATATCCACAAATCAGTAAGTTTGCCATTTCAACAATATTTAGAATTTTCTAATTAGTCTGTTTTTCGGAAAAAAATGACCGAAATTAATTTCTTTTTTGAAATTATTCTCGTAGTGATGTGTTGCACAAGTATGCAAACGAGGACGTTTCACTCGGGTCTTGGATCATCGGCTTAGATGTCGAGCACGTCGACGACCGTCGGCTCTGCTGCAGCACTCCACCAGGTAATTAACCAAACTCGAATAATCATATCAGATAAAGAAAAAAAGCCGGACCTTTATCGGCTAAGTTCGTCACTTGTCGATAATAACAATTTTTTTTTTCGGGTGCCGGCGATTTCGTTTCAGATTGCGAGTGGAAGGTGATAGCCGGGTCGACCTGCGCGGCGTCGTTCGATTGGAGATGCAGCGGGATATGCAGGTCTGTGGAGAGACTGAAGGAAATTCACGAGCTTTGTGGAGAGGACGAGGATGCCTTGTGGAGTGCCAGCTTCTGAGGTCGTGCAAGTTGTGGTTTTATTTATTCATGTTACTTAGGCAGAGAGCATAAACATTTGATCTCATTTCCATTTTATGTAGTTTTTTTTTTTTACTTTACTCTGATTTAATAAGCTGAAGAAGCAAAACCCTTCAATTTAAAAGGGGTCCTCCTCACTGCCGATTCCGTCTTGCAGTATAATTTCTCGTTATCTTTTTCGGGCTTAATGAAGTAATTTCGCGTGATCGTTTTGGAAGATTTTGTAATAACCAGGTCCGAATGAGTCCTCAAGGATGCTGTAAAATGCTCTTTGAATCTTATGTATTAGGCTACATATATGTCATTCATTCTGGTCTGGAACTAGATGTAACCCGTGCTTTGCACGGATTATTCTATAATTTTTCAGTATTTATAGATGATATATTAACATAAGGCATATAAAGAGAAACTTCAAATTAAAGGATTCAAATTATAAGATTCTGATGTTAATATAAAATTAATCATATTAGGCAACTTATACAATAAAATAGCTAACGTGACATTTTGACCTTTATATTTCCTTCGTTATTTACCGTCTCAAGCTCTTGTTTGATTTATGTATTACTATTTTAATTAACGTGTTTGTATAGTAATAATAAGTTATTATATTAACATTAAGGTAGAAAACTTCTTTAATACAAAGAAGTCACAACCCAACCTCGATTGCTGCACCAACTCGACAAATTTTAAGAGTTAATTGTACTTTTTAAAACTTTTTGTACTTTGATCATGAGATTTAGCACTTCCAATGCATTTATTCCTCCTCCCCCTTCTTCTTCTTCTTCTTCCCTGATGTTTCGTTTCCTTGAGGTGGTTGGGAAGACTATAAATGCACGAGTAAGTTGATGTGGTTGTGTCAGTTCATCAACGGACAATAAATAGTTATCTCTATCAACACAGATCTGGAGGACTTAGTCCGTGCATGGCGACGGGTCTACGGGCTAGTTAATTTGCCGGAGCGACTGTTTCTTCAATTCAAACCCCAAGTGTCTTTTCAGACCGACGACTAATAGTGCATGGATGGCCGAAGCAGCATGAAATTTCCACGATCGGATTGATCATCGCTGTCTTATAAAAAGCTTCTCCGCTGGAGACCAGCTCGACCAAAAAGCAGAGAAACAACAAACAAGAACATGGCACCCTCGTTGTCCTACATGTTTTGTACTTGGATCGTCTTCCTCCTCGCTGCGTTTCTTACTTCCTGTGCTGATTCCCTAGGTCTTGCAGATGAGTGCTCTGCCTTGATAGAATTCAAGAGAAGTTTCCCAACCATCAGAGCGGATTTCCCTTGCGTTTATCCGAAGGCCGAATCATGGTTGCCGGATGTGCATGGAGACTGCTGCTCGTGGGATGGCGTGGAGTGCCACGAGGCCACCGGTCATGTGACGGGCCTTGATCTTAGTGGCAGCTTCTACGGTGCCATTGTAGTCGGCTAAGTTCGTATATCAGAAATTAAAATCAAACGTTAGGAAAAAACTAACCTGAAAGCAGTAGAACCAAATAAGCAGAATGTTGATCCGAGCCCAACGAATTAACGTCGTGTCCTTAAGACGAATTTGGCCCCTCAATCAGTACCCGAGGATATTGGACAATCGTCTCCCAGGATAGAACGGATCTCGTTCCTCCGAAGCGGTACGTATTCGGAGGACTCCAACGAACGCAATTTTGCAGAACAATCGCACCAAATGACAATGATGAAGTGAATATGCGTAGAGTGTGTCTTGAAAAAATGAATGCCACGAAGTGATATCTATATTCCGAACTAAACTGTTCGGTCTTATTCAAGTGACGAAAAATGAAGAGTCGCGAGTTTTCGTGAATAGTAGCGAAGGGCTTCGGTTTTCGTTCGGGCGAACCGAACCTCACGAACAGACATGTTTGTTTGTCCAAAAATAAATAAATAAATAAATAATTTCTAAACAACGTGTCTGTTCGAAAACTAAAAAATAAAAAACCGATAGAGAGTGGACCCGGAACCGAACCGAGCCGAGCCGGCCGGACGGACGGCGGCAGCGGCGGCGCGCGCGCGGGAGGTGGACCGACCTAGGTCCTCTCTCTTCCACAAAAGTGGGGTACCCCTTGGGGCCCAAACCCATTTGTGAGGCTCAACTATTTGAACCCATCTCCCATCTCTCTTCTACCCTATGTGGGACACTTTCACCCACACACTTCTCATTCAATTCTATGGGATTTTGGTTCCAAAATCCCAACAATCCCCCACATGAATGAGAAGTTCAGATATCATGACTCTTTGTGTATGCATGAGATGCAATGTGCGATTATTCCATGAGAAAACGTTGCATCAGGATAAGTAGTCTGAGACCTTGAACTTTCCTTAGTGAAACCTATCGGACTTACTCAGTCAATCAGTAGACTTGATGTCTTTGAACTGTCGACCTTTGGTGTAAGCCTAGACAATAGAAATCATACAACTGTTTCTCGAACAAAATTGGTTCTCACTGTTGTGTTCGTTTTGGCCATGAACACCGCCTGGTCTCATGAGTGTTTTAGAGAATTCGGCCTTTTCAATTCTCACAGAAGCGGCCCTCACTTCACACTCACATAGGTGATTTCTGAACATATAGTATATCACATACTCAATTCAGAATCATTAAAAGCTTTTGCTTAACCTTCACATATTAGTACTGTCTTCATCAGGGAATGAGTAAAAAATTTAACAGTACTCTACACTGTCTTCATAACTTAGTTGTCCCTTTGAACCTAGATCTTGGGATCTCCAGTCAACTAGGTAGGGTTTCCGCTATGATGACTTGTTTATAGGCCTTAAACCCATTCCCCTTGATGTTTTTGCAACCATCTCTCCAGTTAGGCCTTTTGTCAATGGATCCGCAATATTATCTTTTGACTTCACATAGTCAATGGTGATAATTCCACTAGAGAGAAGTTGTCTTACTGTGTCATGTCTTCGACGTATGTGTCGAGACTTACCGTTATACATGACATTCCTTGCTCTTCCTATTGCCGCTTGACTGTCACAATGTATACATACAGTGGGCACTGGTTTAGGCCAATTAGGAATATCTTCCAAGAAATTTCGAAGCCACTCTGCTTCTTCACCGGCTTTATCCAAAGCAATAAATTCTGATTCCATAGTGGATCTAGCAATACAAGTTTGTTTGGATGATTTCCAAGACACTGCCGCTCCCCCAAGTGTGAATACATATCCACTTGTCGATTTTGTGTCTTTAGTGCCGGTTATCCAATTTGCATCACAGTATCCTTCAAGTACCGCTGGATATTCTGTGTAATGCAAAGCATAATCTTGAGTATGCTTTAAGTAGCCCAATAAACGTTTCATTGCTTTCCAATGATTTTCATTTGGACTAACTGTAAATCGACTTAGCTTGCTAACCGCACAAGCTATGTCCGGCCTAGTACCATTCATGACATACATTAAACTGCCTAGTATACTAGCATACTCATTTTGAGCCTTACTTTCACCAGTATTCTTCGAAAGATGTAAATTAACATCTATAGGAGTCTTTACCGGTACAATATCTAGATTCTTGCACTTTCCAAGAATCGTCTCAATATAATGGGATTGTGATAGAGTTAATCCTCCATATGTTTTATGGATTTTAACTCCTAAAATAACATCTGCAACCCCCATATCTTTCATATCAAATTTACTTGTGAGCATGCGTTTGGTTGCCTTAACAACCTCACTATCGCTGCCCATTATAAGCATGTCATCTACATATAAGCACAAAATGGCAAAACCATTATGAGTGTTCTTAACATATACACATTTATCACACTCATTGATCTTGAAACCATTCGACAACATGACTTGGTCGAATTTAGCATGCCATTGTTTCGGTGCTTGTTTCAATCCATAGAGTGACTTGATAAGCCGACATACTTTCTTCTCTTGACTTGGAACAATGAACCCTTCGGGTTGTTCCAAATATATTTCTTCTTCCAAATCCCCGTTTAAGAAGGCCGTCTTAACATCCATTTGATGGATTTCAAGCTTATACACCGCTGCTATGGCAATTAGCATCCTTATGGATGTAATTCTAGTAACAGGTGAATAAGTATCAAAATAATCAAGACCTTCTCGTTGCTTGTATCCTTTTACTACAAGCCTAGCCTTATATTTATCAATAGCACCATCCGCTTTCATTTTCCTCTTGAAAATCCACTTACATTGTAGTGGTTTATTATCAGGAGGAAGGTCAACCAATTCCCATGTATGGTTTGACAAGATGGATTCAACTTCACTATTGATAGCTTCTTTCCAGAACGGGGCTTCTGGCGAAGTCACAGCTTCTTTGAATGTCCGAGGCTCATTCTCTAACAGATACGTGAAGAAATCAGGTCCAAAAGACGTGGAAGTCCTTTGTCTTTTACTACGTCTAGGTTCATCCTCAATTGGATCATTTCTAGATATAGTATCTCGAGACCTCTTATTATTATCAATTGGCTCATATACTATGTTATACGGAAATATATTTTCAAAGAACGAAGCGTCCCTTGATTCAATTATCGTATTAACATGTATATCTGGGATCTCTGACTTGTGAACAAGAAAACGATATGCATTGCTATTCTGAGCATATCCGATAAAAACACAATCAACAGTCTTTGGCCCTATCTTAACCTTTTTAGGCTTAGGAACCGCAACCTTAGCCAAACACCCCCACACTTTGAGATAATTCAAGTTAGGCAATCTGCCTTTCCATTTCTCATAGGGAGTTTGTTGTGTTTTTCTGTGGGGCACTCTATTTAAAATAAAATTCGCCGTCAAAACAGCTTACCCCCACAAATTCTGTGGTAAACCGGAACTATTCAACAATGCATTCATTGTTTCCTTTAAAGACCGGTTTTTCCTTTCTGCCACTCCATTAGATTGCGGCGTATAAGGAGGAGTCATTTGGTGAACGATACCAAACTCAGTACAAATTTCCTCAAAAGGAAATTCATATTCACCTCCTCTGTCACTTCTTATCATTTTAACTTTCTTATTCAACTGAGTTTCAACTTCGGACTTATAAATTCTAAAAGCATTCACAGCCTCATCTTTGCTACTAAGCAAATAAACATAACAATACCTCGAGCAGTCATCTATAAATGTGATAAAATACTTATTACCACCTCTTGACGGTATTGATTTCATATCGCATATATCCGTGTGTATTAAATCTAAAGGTTACGAGACTCTATTGTCTACGAATGAAAAGGAGGCTTAGAAAATTTAGATTCAACACACACTTGGCATTTCTCACTAGAACATTCGAATTTTGGCAATAATCCCATGTTCATTAATTTCTTTATCGACTTATAGTTAACGTGTCCTAATCTATCATGCCATAAATTAGGAGACTCAAGCACATAAGCAGAAACAGCTTTATTCATAACAACATTGGGTACAACAGTCATTACATTTAACTTGAAAAGACCGTCACTGAGGTAACCCTTTCCTACATACATCTCATTCTTGGAGAGTACAAACTTATCGGATACAAAAACCAACTTGAAGCCATTCTTGCTAAGAAGAGATCCGGACACTAAATTCTTGCGTATGTCTGGCACATGTAGCACATTATTTAGTGTCACAACTTTCCCAGATGTCATCTTTAGAGCAACCTTTCCAACACCTTCAACCTTAGAGGTCGATGAATTACCCATGTAGAGTTTTTCATCACCTTCCATAGGCATGTAAGATGAGAACATTGATTTATTGGCGCAAATATGACGAGTTGCTCCAGTATCAATCCACCACTCCTTGGGATTTCCCACCATATTACACTCGGATATCATGGCAGTTAGATTGATATCATCAACACCATTGGAAATTTCTTCCACCACATTAGCCTGAGTTTTCTGTCTTTTCTTGGCTCTGCAGTCTTTGGCTCGATGTCCAGACTTGCCACAGTTGAAGCACTTGCCAACGAACTTCTTCAGGCCTTGGGTGAATCCCTCTCCAGACTTGCTAGTCATTTTTCTCTTCTTGTTGGGTTTTGATCCTTCTTCAACAACATTGACCCTTGAGACCGCCAAATTGCTGCCAACTTTCTTTTCGGAATTTCTATTGTCTTCCTCTATCCTCAACCGAACAATCAAGTCTTCAAGTGACAACTCCTTTCTCTTGTGTTTGAGATAATTCTTGAAATCTCTCCAGGATGGTGGCAATTTTTCAATGAATGCAGCCACTTGAAATGTCTCACTTAGAGTCATTCCTTCAGCATGAATATCATGCATAATCACTTGAAGCTCTTGAACCTGACTTAAGACGGTCTTTGAATCAACCATCTTGAAGTCCAGAAATTTACCGACAATGAATTTCTTCAATCCGGCATCTTCGGTTTTGTATTTCTTGTCCAGACTATCCCATAACTCTTTAGCCGTTTTTAGCGGACTATATACGTTATAGAGAGTATTGTCCAGACCGTTGAGGACATAGTTGCGACACAGGAAGTCAGAATGATTCCATGCGTCCACAGCAGCAAGCTTTTCTTTATTTGTCTCTCCAACGTCCAATTTAGGACCATCCTCATTGAGGAATCTAGCCAAGTTCAAGGTCGTGAGATAGAACAACATCTTTTGTTGCCATCTCTTGAAATCCGTACCATTGAACTTTTCTGGCTTTTCTCCGTGATTCGGAACAGGATTAACCGAAGTCGAAGCCATTTCTGAAATATAAACACATACCATATTCACGAACAGAATTGAAAATTTCTAATATGAACAATATTCGAAAAATTCATTAACGAACAGAATGTGCAAATAGAATCGTATTCTATACGATATGACAAGGAACATACGAACTATACAAAAGTTCGAATTAAAGAAACGGCAATATGATATTTGATATGAACAACGCATAAGAATATACGAACAGAACCGAAGCAAAATTCGTCTTAAGATTGTAGTCGGCTAAGTTCGTATATCAGAAATTAAAATCAAACGTTAGGAAAAAACTAACCTGAAAGCAGTACAACCAAATAAGCAGAATGTTGATCCGAGCCCAACGAATTAACGTCGTGTCCTTAAGACGAATTTGGCCCCTCAATCAGTACCCGAGGATATTGGACAATCGTCTCCCAGGATAGAACGGATCTCGTTCCTCCGAAGCGGTACGTATTCGGAGGACTCCAACGAACGCAATTTTGCAGAACAATCGCACCAAATGACAATGATGAAGTGAATATGCGTAGAGCGTGTCTTGAAAAAATGAATGCCACGAAGTGATATCTATATTCCGAACTAAACTGTTCGGTCTTATTCAAGTGACGAAAAATGAAGAGTCGCGAGTTTTCGTGAATAGTAGCGAAGGGCTTCGGTTTTCGTTCGGGCGAACCGAACCTCACGAACAGACATGTTTGTTTGTCCAAAAATAAATAAATAAATAAATAATTTCTAAACAACGTGTCTGTTCGAAAACTAAAAAATAAAAAACCCGGAACCGAACCGAACCGAGCCGGGCGGACGGACGGCGGCGCGCGCGCGGGAGGTGGACCGACCTAGGTCCTCTCTCTTCCACAAAAGTGGGGTACCCCTTGGGGCCCAAACCCATTTGTGAGGCTCAACTATTTGAACCCATCTCCCATCTCTCTTCTACCCTATGTGGGACACTTTCACCCACACACTTCTCATTCAATTCTATGGGATTTTGGTTCCAAAATCCCAACAGCCATAACTTCCAACTCAAGCCTCTTTCGCTTGCTCCACTTGAAATCGTTCAATCTCGCATTCGATGACTTCAACTCTTCCTCAATCCTATACGGCTTCGGCAATCTTTCTAGGTTACAGTACCTTAATCTTTCTGGTTCAGACTTTTCGCGAAAAGTCCCCTCTGATATATCTCACGTCTCTCACAATTAATTTCTCTTGATTTGTCTTTTGGGTATGATCTTGAGATGCCCAACATAGACAACTTTGTTCATAACTTAACTATGCTTAGAGAACTTGATCTCTATTATAAGCATGACATCATTCCCTCGTGTGCTTGCAAACTTCTCCTCTTTGAAGTCACTTAAATTTATAAATTCTGGATTGCATGGAGAATTTCCGGTAAGCATCTTTCAGTTACCAAACCTCGAAGTCCTTGACATAAGTTTTTAATGGAAACCTTTCTGGTTTTATTCCAGCACTACAGTGGGGTAGTCCCCTGAAATCACTATCTCTTTGGGGCACGAATTTTACAGGGGAAATACCTATTTCGATTGGAAACCTTGTTTTCTTGAAAGAATTATCTATTGGAAATTGTCCTTTCTCGGGTTTACTTCCTGCTTCACTGGGTAATCTTTCTCAGCTTACTTATCTGGATGCATCACGAAATAAATTTCGGGGTCCAATCCCCGATTCCTTTGCTAATCTTACCCAGCTGGCATTTCTTGATCTCCATTCGAATAATTTCAGTGGTGATATTTGGCATTGGCTTGGCAACTTGGCAAAACTCACCCTTTTCGACCTTTCAGGTAAATAGTTCAACAAGCAGTTCTTTAACAAGAAGCAAAACAAAAGCAAAGAAAAAAAATTCGAGATTTAATCGATAGTTTAGCCAAACTAAGCGTCCTTATTTCTTTACATTTTGCAGATGCTCAGTTCAGTGGCCCGATTGCGTCTTCATTTGAGAACTTGACCCGGTTGGTTGTGCTTAAACTTTCATCCAACAATTTGCAAGGTGAAATTCCAAACTCATTATGGGAACTCAAGGATATTGAATATCTGGATCTTAGTCAGAATAATTTGAGTGGCTATGTGGATTTACACAAACTCAAGAACATGGAAACATTACGTTTGGACTCCAACAACATATCTTTTGTCAGCAAGACCGAGATCAATGCCACTCTTCCAAAACTTTCCTGGTTAAACTTAGATTCGTGCAACTTACATGAGTTCCCGAAGTTTTTAGGCTACCTTAGCGGATTAGAGAAGGTAAGTCTTTCACACAACAAATTCGGAGGGAGTATTCCTACGTGGCTGTGGAATGGTAGCAGAGACTCCTTGATGTATATTGATCTTTCTCACAATTTTCTAACTGGTTGGGGAAAAAATCAGATCAATCTGTTACTACCTCAATTGACCTATCTTGACATTAGTTCTAACTTTCTCAAAACAACACTCCCTAGTCCACCTCCATCAGCAACTTATTACAATGTCTCCGACAACATCCTCTTCGGAGGAATTCAATCTATTTGTGGAGGAAGATCCCTTGCCATTCTTGATCTGTCCATAAGTAGTCTGACTGGCAATATTCCTTCATGTTGGGAAATATGGATTCTCTGTCAATTTTGAATCTTGGAAAAAATAAACTTGAGGGCATAATTCCCAATGCTTATTCAAAAGGTTGTCCGTTAAAGTTTATTGACCTCACAGAGAATCGATTGCAAGGGACTGTCCCAAGATCTTTGGCAAATTGTACAATGCTAGAGTATTTGAACCTTGGTTACAATCAAATTCTCGATGGGTTCCCTTTATGGCTATCGAAATTGACAGAGCTGAAAGCTATTATCTTGAAATCCAACAAGTTCCATGGTCCAATAGAAGTATATCGAAGCCAGTTTAATTTAAGCAATTTGCATATCATGGACCTTTCCAACAATAGTTTCAACGGTGAAATTCCTTCCAAGTTGTTGCAGAGTTTACATGCCATGAAAGTAATTGTTGGTCAAGATCGATTGGAATATATGGATATTTGGCAAGATTCCACCTGGGTGGAAGCTGTGACTTATGGAATGAAACTGATGAATAAAGGCATAGAAAGGGAATACTTGAAGGTTCCATATGCCCTTATGGAAATTGACCTCGCCAATAACAAATTGGAAGGATGCATACCCGATCTCATTGGAGATTTGAAGTCACTTCTCATGCTTAACCTTTCAAACAACATTCTCACCTGCTCCATCCCACCTTCCTTAGCAAACCTGACAATACTGGAGTCTCTAGATCTTTCTCGAAATAAGCTCTCAGGAGAGATACCTCAACAACTAGCCCAACTTACGTTTCTTTCATCTTTTGATGTCTCTCACAATAGACTCTCTGGCCCAATACCGAGAGGAAGGCAGTTTGACACATTCGGGACTGGTTCATTTGCCATGAATAAGGGGTTGTGTGGAAGCCCTTTACCAAAAAATTGCACAAAGGTTGGGGAAAACTTATCATTACCACCATCATTGCTCGAGGAAGACAATGGCGAAGAGTCTCCGTTCAACTTGGATTGCAAAGGTGTGCTGATTGGCATTGGAGTCGGGTTTTTGATTGGTGTTGTGTTAGGGAACTTGATCATTGACAAGAAGACTAGGTGGTTCTTGCACTACTCCAAGAGAATGGCAAACTTATGGAAAATATTGGGAAGGCATTGAACAATGAGGAGTTATGACACCGATTAGTAATGTAATTGATGGGCGTCTAGCTTGTATTAAAAGTGGTTATAAGTTTCTTAAGATTCTGATCTATGTTTGCTTCATGCGAACTCGTGTGTTTCGTAAGTTATATGTAGACGCTCATTATTCTACCTTTCCGACCGTTTTTCCTAGAAAATCATACGATATCATCATATAATGTAACATACATATGTTGGCTATCTACCTTCTAATGTATGTTGTGTTGTAAAAGTTGAATGGCTTCGAATCAAAGAGCAATCAAATCGGACTTTGAGGCGTGATATCACTTTCCTTAAGGATTTATTTGCCCCACAATTGTTGCTAATGGTCACCGGCAAAAATCCTCCAGGATACAACAAAGTCTCAAAATGAGAATACTAAATAGCAATTCTAGTATTTCTCCAGGATCTCTCTAGGAAACAATTGAAAATGATGGCTGTAGTTTTTTCGAAAGAAGACTTGAAAATTGATTGATTTTTTCTTCTTGCCAAAAACTGACATATATAGAAATCGGTCTTCATAGGCAACTCTTCACGAAAAGTTGCAAAGCTAACAAAGATATTCCTTCGGAAGAAGTTGCAAACTGAACAAATGCAACCCTTCGGAAAATGTTGAAAACTGAATAAGTATAATCTCCAAAAGTTGTCTTGAAAAGACACATGTAAAATTCGGAATAAAATAAAATAAAAAATATATAAATAAAATTCCGAAATTTTCATAATTTCGAAAATTATTTAATAAACAAAAACAACCTTTCAACTAATAAAGATTAAGGAGATAACCTTATGAAATAAAATAAAAAATAAAGGGATTAGAGCTAATTAAACCGCGGCCGCGCAAGCGTGCAAAGTAAGTGCGCCTAATAATCGCGCAATTATTCGCGCACCCGCGCGCGGGTATTGTGTGGACTAGCACACACTCCATTGTCTTCACTCTAAGGAGTAAGAAGACACTCACAGTTATAAAATGGCCTACTTACCCAAAACTTTCCTATGTGGGACAAAGGAAAAAGCATTGTTTTGTTTGTTTTACAAACAAACATCCAACATGTTGTGATTATGTGCCAGCCAACACTCACTTTCAATTCTTAATCACCAAAATCTAATTTTTCAGGACATTGCTGCTTCCAAAATCTAATTGTGGAAAGCTACTAAATAGTGGTAGAAACAAGAAGATAAATATGAAACTTGATAATTTGCAATTGAATCGTTGGAGACTACAATAAAAAGTGAGGGATCCTTAATCACCAATTTATTTCACGAAGAGATCCCTAAAAAGTTTTGGATTTAGAAGAATGAATGCTGCATTTGGCTGGCCTAGCCATTGTAACTTTACAAAGAGGTGTTGAGGTGATAAAATTAACTGTTCAAATTACTAACAAAAAGTTAAACCAGAAAGAAATTACAGTGCTAATAGAAGTTTTGTTCTGAACAGACATTTATTTACAGCTGACTATTGATGGAATCTTGCTTGATGTAATGAAAATTCTTTACTATGTTTTTTCATAAATTCATCAAATCATCCAAACATGTTCAATGCTTATGCCAGACTAGCTTCCAAAATGCTATCCATTCCCACAAAAGACGAAATATTTATAATTTCATCTTGTTAAATGCTTTTTTTTTTCTCTCTTGGCTCTAAATTTCAAGATTTTAGTTATCTGGAATGAAAATGACATATATTCTACTGTTCATATGTCATATACATATGTTTAATAAACTTGTCTCCTCCTTGTTAATTAGCCTATTAACTATAAAAATTCTTAAATAAAAAGCACATTAGTTTTAGATGAATATAATATAATTGGACTCATCGATTGAGCAACTCAAGTGTGACAAAAAAGTTAACGTTTATCTTCCTCATGAGATTAGTCCCATTTCTCGAGAGGAAAGAAAATATATAAATTGTAAATATTATAGAAAGAGTGTGTGTTTTATGTTAATGCTATTGCAGATGATTTGATTCTTCGAGCATCAAAGCTCAGGCATAATGTTACTAGTGTATAGATTAGCGTGTTCCTTGCAAGAACAAAATACCATCACAGCCTAATATGAAATTTATGACTCTAAAAAGGCTAGTTTACCCAAAATAAAGTGTAAGAACGAACGCACGATAAAAGAATATCTCGTTGTTTAATTAAATATTGTATAAAATTATATTACGCATGTTAATTTTGTGTCCGATGGACGGATGCCACTTGCCCCGGGTAATCATGTCGAGTAACTTGATACGATTTTGAATTGTAGATTTGCTCAAAATTTGCTACAAAAGGTATTGAAAGAATTATGTTCTCATGTGAGGAAATTTTCAGTGGTTTGATACTGCCACTACTTGTTCCTGTCGAATCTGCAACTTTTAACACTCCCTCTCAAGTCTACCTCTAATGGCGGTCATGGCTGCCATGGCTAGCGTCAACAACGGATCTGTTGCTTGCTGGCCATGGAGGAGTAACGATTGAGGTAAAACTGAAGATGCAAATCCAAATCTAAAAGAGCACGACTCAAATATAGATTTGGATTGGGTGGTTGGGGGGGAAGGGGGGGGGGGGGGGCCTGACGCCGGGACCTATGAAGGCTCACGCCAACCGTGAGTGACGTCGGAAGTGCTGGCTTGGGATGGACTCGAAGGACGCCGCGCCGGCAACTCCACGGTGAGGGCAACAGTGAGGGCCATTGCATTGAAGGACAAAAACTCCCGAGGCTGAACTATATGTTTTTATTTTTATTTTATATTTAGTTCCACATCAGCAGACACTTGTCGACTTTCTAGTGATTGTGAGATGAAAATGTCCACCACATCAACGGCTGATGTGGCGGTAACAAGCCACTTAATATTTTCTCATTCTCATGAGTTGCTATAATGCGCCGGAAATTATCACCATAGATATCATTTGTGATAATGACACTAATGATCCCTCAGTTACGACTCAATGTGCAATGTGATCATTGAATTTTTAATTTGTTTAATGTGGTAACGAAAGTATTCAATGTTGTCATTCCATTAATTCAAGTTTAAGGACAATATTGAATATTTTCATATAGTTCCATAACTAAATCAAACATGTACAAAAAATTCAAGAACCATAATGAACAATTCAAAAGTTCGAGGATCACGTTACATATTAAATCAAAATCTAAAGATTATTTGTGTAATTTTTTCATGTCATTTTATTTCAAACTGAGAGAAGAAAAGGGCGCAGCATGTCAGGCCTCAAGGTGGACCACGAGTTTCTAGAAGTGATCATCGAGATGAGCCCGCCTCAAGAGACTTGCATTGCGAGAGCGACAGAGGGTGTCCGCATTCACCGACTGCTTGGGCAAGGAGCAACGCAGCTCCACCTCTCGCCATCGACGTATATAAATACAGAGTTACGTGTCAGCATCGGAAACGACCCCCCGGGTCAATATCTTTCGCCATCAGAAATTTGCCAGAATTCTGTCCCTTTGGTTCCCGGGTAGACACCACAAATTTTTCTCCGTTTCCCGATAGGCTTGTGCGGGTCATCTCCCTTCTCCTTTGCCCCCCTCCCGATCGGTAGTCAATCAATCATTTGAGCCCGACCCATCTCGTGTTCTGCTTTGGACTTCACACTCCCATCTCCGGTCTCGCCTTCTTTCCCCCCCCTCTCTGGTAAAGTTCCTTGCTTTTCTTCTCTTCTTCGATTTATCTAGGACACCCTGTTGTGCAGTTTCATGGCTTTTGGCTTTCTGGGTTGGGTTCGTGATCTGTTGTCCGGAATTCGCAGGGAGTGATCGCAGTTGGGTAGGAGCTGATATGGCCAATAGTGGTTTCAAACTTCAACGCTCCTTTGGTCTGTTGTCAACCCGCCCCTGCTTCGTTATTCTGTCTCTCTATATGTGTGTGCGCTTCTTTGTTCTTTTTTTTTCTTCCACATAATTTCTTTCGTACATGCTGTTGTTTGCCGTATATCTGTTTTCCCTTTTGCTAAAATTGAGGTTTGAGGATGCTCTTGGATTTCTTGAAGTACTGGTTGCTGCTACTTACTGAAGCTGAATTGTGGGTTTTGGTGATCAGTAGTGATTAATTTAGCTTTCTCATGCGTAGTGGGTGTTGCAAGTTGTCTTTTTTTTTTTTGCCCTTTTGTGGCTAATTTCACATGATCACAATTAGAGTTAATATGGTGAGGTTGAAACCTCATTTGCTCAGATTATATCTGGTGGGGTTTCCCGTGGTGGCATGTGATTGGTATTTCATGCCCAGCTGGAGTAATTAGGGCTTGGACTTTACTGACTTCGAAGTTTTTACCTACAATGATTTTCTTCTGATGAATTTGAATTGGTGGGTATGGATAGGTGGATAGTTTTTATGGCGAGATTTCTTAGTTAAGTGAAGGAACGTGAATTTTGCTGCGGGCAGCCCATTTCTTTATATGATGTGTCAAAGTCAGGCACTAGATTTTCTTTTATGTGTCTGTTTGATCATAGATTATCGGTTTCATTAGTCATTCCACCTGTGTAAAGCTTCTGACCCATTGCAAGATGCATCAATGAGTCCTTGGTCTTGATTGTGTGGCAGTCTATGCCTTGCTTGGGTTTATCACTTTGGTTTTAAGTTGTTGACTTCTCCGATATCAGAAATGAGGCGAGCAGAAGCTGCTCGGATCAGAGAGAAGTATCCAGATAGAATACCTGTGAGTATGTTTTGAACAAGCCTCTAGATATTGACTCCTTTCATTGGTTTTGCATATGACACTATGCAAATCGTATATGCCGTGCAGGTTATTGTGGAGCGTGCTGACAGAAGCAACGTCTCTGACATTGATAAGAGGAAGTTAGTTGCCTCTGTGCTTGTAATACAATTGCTTTCTTCTTTACAAACATGATGGCTTCCTCATTTTTCTTCTTGTGTTGGTATTTTTATGGTTGAACTCTCATTTAATCTTTTTTGGCATGCACTTCTTCCACGCAGTGAATTCGTAAAAACTTAGGATATGCATATCGGGCTTAAGACACTGTGACTTTTATCCAAATTGATAAACAACTATTATTTAAGAAAACCATCGGTTCTTATCACTTTGCAATTGCTTTTCTCTGAATTTTGCGATTCAAGTGATGTAAATTTATACGGTTTTATCTGGTTTGACCATTGCCAACCTGGTGGATATTGCGAGCATGAACAAAAAAGTTAGTTTTAATATAAAATATGATGACCACTTTCATGTCATTTACGAATTAGTGGTTCGCCCAAGATAAGCATTGTTCCATCATTATCTTCATCTTCTCCCTTCTTTTATATAAGTTTGAATCTAGTTGCCTTTTTACTTGGTAAATTATGTTCATTCTCATCTTGCATTTGCATATGCCACGTAAAGGAACGGACAACAGAGTCAATATCTTCTCATTTAACTGCACCTTTGGTAGTTTTACCTTTAAATATTGATATAGAATGCTCTGTATCATGTGTATAATAAGAGAATTTGCCTCATGTGATGACTGCAGGTACCTTGTCCCTGCTGATATAACTGCAGGACAGCTTGTTTATGTTGTTCGCAAAAGAGTCAAGCTTAATCCTGAGAAGGCTCTGTTCATCTTTGTCAAGAACACTCTACCTCCTACTGGTAAGTAGAGTCACAGTGCATTTTCTTGCAATATGTTTATCAGGTGAGATTCTATGACCAAGATCTTGTGTTTCAGCTTCCTTGATGTCTGCGATATATGAGGAATTCAAGGACGAGGATGGCTTTCTTTACCTGACTTACAGCGGAGAAAATTCTTTTGGATTCCATGCAGAGTAGCTTGGACGAGTATATATACTTGAAAGTGTAGATATTGGTTGATGCGCTGATTCATTAGTTCGTTTTGGCTTAAGATTCGAGGAGGTATAATCTTTTCTGCGTAGTAGTAGTACGGTCTGCTTAATCTATTGGTCAGTATTGCTTGGACTGATGAAAACTGGACTGGTCTGTTTCCTTTAAAGACAAACCATATGTTGCAACCAATGAATCTGCTGCAAGTACAGTGAATTGAAAAAAACATAGAGAGAGAGAGTCCGACGGAGCTAATTTGTAGCTTTTATGCTGCATAAAAGAGTAATATAATGCAGATGCAACTACTATACACTGAAAGACAAATGGTTTTTGCACTCTTCATTAGCTTAGACAGAACCATCTCGTTCTTCATTTAGCGGAGCCTTTTTTCTGACATTGATTCTTGATCCATTTGATGCCATTCGATGTCCCACTCTTGATCTTCTGTGCTCCGGCTGCGGCCGCTGCTTTTGCCTTGGTAAATGCGGCCTTGGAATCGCCCTTCTTCTGATTGCTCCCTTCGTCCTTCTTGGCGCCGTCATCATCCATAGCCCCGAAACCGCCAGCTCCCCATTGATCAGCCCAGCTCGGTGCTTCGCTAGCCATTTTCTCAAATCTTCCCGCGAGTCAAATGCAACAAAACTTCTCCTGAAACACATTTCAGCGATCAAGAATAGCCCTTCTTTGGTATTTTGAGCATTGAATCAACAGAAACTGGTAAGCTTCAGAGTCAGGTCCAGATCAACAATCAACAGAATGCATCCTTCCCTGAAACATAACACTCTGTAGAAAGTTGATCCCTTTTTGGAATATTGGATGCTTGTAGATGTTTTGATAGCGGTTTTGATACTGGGTAAGTGCTGTGCTTAAAATTTCAAGCTTTCTACAGAGTAAAACACACCAGAGAGAGAGAGAGAGAGAGAGAGAGAGAGAGAGAGAGAGAGGAGTACCTGGAGATGTCTGATGAGAGCTCTGATGGAGAAGCTTGATGAGAGAGAGAGAGAGAGAGAGAGAGAGAGAGAGAGAGAGAGAGAGAGAGAGAGGAGTACCTGGAGATGTCTGATAAGAGCTCTGTTGGAGAAACTTGATGAGGGATGTTGATGGGATCTTAGTATATGGTGGAGCACATAGTAAGCCTTAGATGGTAAGAAAACCATGTGGATGGGCTGTCTGCTGCCAACTTTCATCCTCGTCATCCTTTTAAAAAGGATTTGCCAACTCACTCCTTTCCATCCTGGAAACCACCTTCCTTTTGGCATAATTTCTTTAATGGTTTTACCTAATCATGCACCATCAACTTCAATTATTTCCACAAGTAGAGTTCAAACAGCAACATGTCCTCAATGTTCATTTTTAGTGGCTAAATTCAATTGAATGAACTATTGTTGAATAGCATATAGTCCCTCCCTCTGATCCAAAAAAAAAAAAAATGACCGCTTACCATCTATTATTGTGCAAAGAAAACTGATGCCCATAGGGTTGGTTGGTGGAGTAAATAGATTTTGATTTTCGGTTTGTTTATTGGGCATCCACCCCCAGATATCAATCCTTCCCTGGTGTTGACCTTGTCTTGGGGTCCAGTTTGAGCAGAATGCCAATGGAGTGATGTGAATGGAACACCTAGAAATGTCACTCAGACACCGAGGTGGATGTGCTTTAGCGAAAACATCGGCTAGTCGATCCGCAAAACTGGAATCGCTGATTTCAAAAGCTAGTACTTCATATTAGGGGTGTCGATGAGTTGGGTTTGCTGCGAAACTTGCCGAACAAAACGGTTTGCGTCAAGCCCACTTCAGGCCCGACCCGATACATGCAATCTATTGGGTCCATAGAACTGTTCTGCTAGCAATTAGAAGCCACATGAACATTAGCGTTGACCACGTCAACAGTCGGCAACGAGATCTCAAGCTTGGGGGGACGAAGCTCTTGAGAAGGAAGACGAACGTGGGCTGCTCCAAGAACAGGTTGGTCTTCATGCGATTCATGTTGTCCTTTGAGCGTCCGAAGAAGTTTTCAACTTGACCCACCTTGGAAAGCGCCCAGCTTTTGTCTTTTGTTCGTGTCGATCTGATGCCAATTTGACCCAAATGCCAAGCCATCTCTCGTATAAATTTCTACGCCCATTTCATCAGCATGTGTTGTTATTTTGTTATTACAGTGCGAATATACTATGCTTCGAAAGTTCATGCGAAGCAAGACAAGAACAACTCGTCCTGCAAGGAAGAATTCTACTTTTTGTCCCTGTACTTGCAAGCGTTTTTTTAATTTTAAGTCTCTGTACTTTTAAAATTCCTAATCAAGTCTTTCTATGTACAAACATTCTAATCAAGCCCCTCTGACACCAAATCCAGTTGACGTGGCTATCGATAATGTTCTTCCCCGGATGTTCACATTTGCAAAGTTTCCATCCACGTCAAACTTCGGTGTTGTGTACATTGGTTATATTTTTTCCAATCACGTCCACATGGACATCCTAGATTTTGTAGGCAACATATTTTGGTGTCGTTCGACAGGCACGTCGGCTGAATTTGGTCGGATTTGGTGTTGGAGGGATTTGATTAGAAAATTTATGAAAGTAGAACTTGATTACATAAATTAACAGCATAGAGTTTGATTAGAAAGAGCGTAAAAAAAGTACATGGACGAAAAGTGAAATTTTTCAAAAAGAAAGAGAAGGAAATCCGCCGATATGTGCAGAGTTTCCCACGATCGCACACCTCCGCCTCTTAGAGGAGTTTATGTGCTCATAGGGATAGAGAATGATAATATTATATGTCATATTAACGATATATAATCGAAATATGAAGAAGTCTTTCCAAAATCGAGATAGTGTATTTTAATCATTAATATAAATAATGAATTGAAATATCCAGTCGATTAGTGCTAAGCATAAAAATTGCTGTAACATGTTTAATTCGGTGTCATGAGTATAATCACACAACAAATTTCTTCAGAAAACACATGAGATTTTCGGCCTTGTTTTTGTGCACCATGGACCAAGTGATCTCGACCCGTTTGATCCTCGAGATATAGCACCGACTCGCCGGCCTTAGCATTTGAGATCGCCTGTCCATGGTAGGTACAATTCTTGTACACATCGGGAACATGCGAGTCCATTACGTTTCAGCCACCGAGCAGTATGGTCCCGCTTGAAATCCACATGATCGGACATTTTAGATGAAACTGGCACACATAGATCCGTTGCACGCGATACTTGCTCCTAGATCGAGCCTAGGTCTCATAAAGAGCCAGCATATGACACTGTCATCCTTAAACGGATTAGACTCCTATGTTTCTTTCTACTGGCGGCTCTAGTGCGAAAAAAAACGAAAGGAATTGCGTCGTCGACTTCGCCTGCAGCCATAGATACCAGGAGTTTTTGGAGGAAACTAAGTATTGCCCTCCATTACCTTGGACCACACACCTTTTGACGCCATTATATATACACGAGAGGAGAGAATGTGATTTGCATCAGAAAAGCACTCGGAAAACATTCGCTACTTCAATCTGCAGAGAGATCTTTGACTACTCCTCAGGAATTAGCCAAACATCAACATGACTCTCTTCTCGAGCTTGTTGGGTTGCTTCTCCCACGATAGTTCCAAGAGGGTTGGTTGTGTAGGGGAAGATTGCATGCCGAGCGGTTGCCGAAGCAAAGATGATGATCATCATCAGGTCAAAGTTGGTGATCAAGATGTGAAGAAGAACGAGAAGAGCAAGCCCGGCAAGCCAGCTCCAATCCTAGTGACCTATTTCTCCAGTGGATCTCGACCATCTCTTCTTTGAGACGGCGGTTGCAGCGTTGATGTTGCAAGAACTCATGGCTCAAAACTTTTCTTACACGGTTCCATGTCGAAGCCCGATTAACGCAGGGTTGTCATGGATGCATGTTGTACACATTCCGAGTTCCGTTCCTCGGAATCGGGATTGAATGCATGCGCGGCATGCATCCGGGCTATCGTGAAGCTATCTTAGAGATTGTTGGTGAATTGCTTTTGTTAGAAAGTGGTGAAGGAATCTAATTACGTTCTGGTTTATTCTTTTCTTCTCTTCCGGGGAGCCGTATCATTCGCTGTTTACATGTTCTGATCATTGATTCGCACTTTAAGGACCCAAGATAGAATGAGGAAGCAATTATGCACTTCTTACCATTAAAGAGTACTAGCCATTACAGCTAATTGCAGGTTCCACTTGAAAGAACAGCCTATGACAGTTAGTACAGTTGACGAAGAGAGAGTAGAATCTATTAATGTATAATTATATGTATTATGGGGTATTTATGTAATTATGTTTATATGTGTACCCTTTCTGTAATTAGTCACTCCTATAAATACATATCATACAATCCTAATTAGGGTTGAGCCACCATAAACACTTTGTCGTTGTTTTCTCTCTGACTCTAAACATCAACATGGTATCAGAGCAGGAAAACAAATCGAATTCTTCAACATCCCTACCCCAAAACAACACTTCCTTTGCTCCAATTACTATCTCAACAATGTCCAATACATCTCTAAATTTTTCTTCTTCTCTACCATCTCTTTACCCACCATCTTCTTTTTCTGTTAATCCCAATTTCCCATCGCCTCCCGATAATATTGCGCCCACTTTCCCCTCTTCTTCACTCTTCACTGCTGCCCGATCTCTGCTGCTACTCAAATTACGGCTGTGCAATCATCCTCGTCGTCGCTTGTTCTTCCCAACATCACAAGTCTCGTCTCCATCAAACTCGATGCAGACAATTATCTTCTGTGGAAATCTCAGTTTGAATCTATTTTAATCTGTAACGATCTGCTGGGCTATGTGGATGGTTCTTTTCCATGTCCGCCGAAGCTTATCAATGATCAGACTGGCACTGCAGTGGTCAATACTTCCTATTCCACCTGGGTGAAGACAGATCAATGCGTTCGTAGTTTGATCAATTCGACCCTCACAGTCGAAATTTTCCGTGAAGTTCACGACCTTCGGACATCTCGGGAGATTTGGCTTGCTCTAGGACAACGTTTTACTGATCGCTGCGCGGCCAAGGAAATTGGACTAAAATTGGATTTTCAGAATACTATGAAGAAACCCGATCAGTCAATGTCTGATTATCTCCAGCATCTTAAGTCAATTGCGGACTCTCTCACCGCAATCAATTGCTCCGTCTCTGACAAGGACTTGGTGATTCAAGCCCTCAATGGGCTCCCATCTGAGTATGATCCTTTTGTCACTATGGTCACAAACGGCCCTACAATTCTCTCCTTCGGTGATCTGCGGTCACGTCTCCTCATCCAAGAAGAACGATTTCTCCGAAAATCCAATGCATCATCTTCATCTGATATTCATCATGCTTTGATTGGTCACACCACTTCACCCAGTCCACCGTTTCGAGGATCTCGAGGTGGACGTAATTCTAGAGGTCGTAGATCTGGTCGGGGACAAGGTGGACGATTCTCGCGTGATAAATCGAATTGGCAATCTTCCTATGATCGGTTTGGTTCGCAATCATTATCGGCTCCCTATGCCTCCTCCACCTCCTCTGGTCGGTCTCGTGGTGGTTCGAAGCCCTATGTTCCCCCTTTCACACCGGGAGGTATTCTCGGATCTAGGCCTCATCTTACTTGTCAGATATGTAACGGAGTTGGGCATACTGCACTACAATGTCGACAACGATTCAACCATGCTTTTACCACTACTGATCTGTCGGACTCGTTCTCAGCTCTCTCGGTTGGTGAAACCTCTGATTCATCTTGGTATCTTGACAGTGGAGCGTCGGCACATATGACTAGTGATATTGGTAACATCCTAAATCCTAGACCTTTTTACGATTTGACAAAAGTCTCGGTTGGTGATGGTCGTTTATTGCCTGTTAAGCAAGTCGGTAAAGCCTTTTTACATACTGGTTCTCGATCTTTATTATTATCTCCCGTCTATCATGTTCCTAATCTTGCTCGCAATCTTCTCTCCGTTGCTCAACTTTGCCATAAAAATTCTTGTGCCATTGATTTTAATGGTTCATCCTTTTCTTTGAAGGACAAACAAACCGGGAAAGTTCTCCTCCAAGCTGATTCTTCTCATGG